TCCTTTGCCCTTTCAAAGCCATCTGTGCCTTTCAGATAAATGACATGCTGCTGCTTCATAACTGTAGGTAGAAATTGACCCTTATACTGGGAAATGCACAATATTTTATTTTCTAAAGATAAAAACACATTTATTTTTGAAAACATGCCCTTTGCACACTAACTGAATAAGCTGGGCACATTTTATGAAACATTTGAGTAAAAAAAAAAAGCTCCATCAGCACAGGCCCCTTATTACCTGTACACTTTTAACACTAGTTTATAAAGAATAATTATATATATATATATATATATATATATATATATATATATATTATATATTGAATGTGCATATTAAGTGATTTACTATTGGATCGTCTAATGCAAGTCCCTTGCTAGTTAAATTGGAATGTTATTGGTTTGGTGCTTTAAAAGCTTCGGTTGTACCGTTTATGTTCATAATGTATTGATTACAAAAACCATGTCTGGACAAATACTTGAATAACAGCTACTAACTATCCCACTTTAAAAAAAGAAGATAATGGAGGGCACAAAGGCCGTCTATACTGAGCGCTGAGGTTCATCAAAACTACTTGTGGGGGTCGATAGGAGAACAGCTGTGCTGAAGGATTCAACTGCCCAGAGCTGGATTGATCCAAAACAACGAGGACCCACAATTATTGAAAGGAACGTCAGTTAATCCACCATTCCTAAAAGAAATCACTGAAGGCCACACTGGACAAATATTGTTGTTCCAGCAGCTTTTGTCAGAGATAAATCCATGTGCAGGCAGTTGAAATAAAGACTTATCCGTCGCAGTTCAGACTCTGAAGTCGTGGTAGGTACAGTACCCGTCTTCCACTGTATTGATCGCACTTCGCCTTCTTGGAAAGAGCTTTATGGATGAATGGAGAGGACGTGGGGGGGATCCAGACTGAGTGCAAGCTGTCTGCTTTGGCTCAAAGCTGTCAATTCAGTGGGACTTCGGATTGGCATTTCAGCCTCGTTGTACAGACAGAATTCTGCATTAAAGAGTACAGATGCAGTAAGACACCCACAACAAAAATAAGATCGGAGTTGTTGTTTCACAGAGCAGCTCTCTGGGATTGTTTGTGCCCTCAGGCCGCGGAGCAGGACAAAGCCGTTAAAGTCCTACAAAACGCCATCATATTTCTTGTCTTTCAGCAAAAAACACGGGCTGAAATTGATTTATCAATATAATGATAGCAATAATGCTTTGTTTTTGTCAACTGCTGTGAGGCTTTTTGAGTCATTTGAGCTTTTTATAGCCAAACATTAGCTAATTGGTCCCGGAGACGGATGAAGATAAATTAAATTGGAAACCTGGGATGAGCACTCTAAGCCATCTAAAGCAGACACACCAGTATGTTGTTCTCCTCCTTTAAACCGTATTTAATTATGTAAGGTGCTTGACAACACATTTTCCACGACAATAGCTGAAACGGAAGCACATGCAAACACGGGCTCACATGGGAGCTGACGTCGACTGGTTAAGTAAATGCTTTTGTCAGATTCTGAATTAAAAGGCATCCATAAGAGTAAAGACCATCCGTTGTGTTTCCTGTTTTCCTCTGACAGAACTATCGGCCTTCTCCTCGGAGACTTTCCTCTCTCGCCATTAAGCTTTCTCCTCCTCCTCCTCCTTCTCATCATCCTCCATCCCTGTATTATCCTGCATCTTTATCATCTAGTCTGAAAAGACCCAGCACTGCTCTGCCCCCTGGGAACCGCAGCTAAAGGCCCGAATGCACTGCGCAGTCCAGTGAAGTCCACTAAGTGCTTTCCTTATTTGACAGATATGGAATAGACCCAGCCAGACTGTCTCATCCGTGTGCCTGTTGATGTGCTGAAACGGAGCAGAACTCAACTCGAATGCACCGATCAGGAAATGGATTTTGATGGAGAATGTTTCTCATTACACAGTCACTTTGTCGGTATGTGATGAAGTAACTAATTGAATGCACTGCAATGAGTAAAGAAGTGAATGTGTGTGTGTGTGGAGGGGGGGGGTGTCAAATTGTTTGTGTACAATATGCACTTAGTTGTTTTTAGTACTAGACACAGCATGTTCTCAGAAAAACTGTATGTGGAACTTCTGAGGATTAAATAGTCTATTCCATTCTGCACTGGCTGTGATCCGAGGCTACGTTCTGTCCTGTAGTCATTAAATAAAGCTGAAAACAGCATTATTGGCATTCTACGGGTAAATGACGGTGTGAACAGAATTAAGGACAGGGGTGGATCAATTACCAAGAGAGGCAATTCTAGACACCTTGGACATTTATTATTTAACACTGTGTAGTGTTTAAAGTTCAAACGTCTCTGCATCCATCACCTTGAAGTTTACAAAACAAAATAGTATCATGCACAAGCACAGAGGCAAAGGAAAGTTAGTAAGTAAAGAGTAAAAAGTAAAAGAGGGGGTTGTTGGGAGTGAGGAACGTCTTTGAAAAGGCTCAGAATAGACCATACTACTTTATATGTCAGGTCAAGAGGAAAATGTCCAGTATACTTTGCTAAATGGGATGAGAGCTGCTATGTTCCCACCAAGAACATAAGTGACAGAGTGGATTATGTCACTAGTATCGACGTGTGTGTGTGTGTGTGTGTGTGTGTGTGTGTGTGTGTGTGTGTGTGTGTGTGTGTGTGTGTGTGTGTGTCTGTCTGTCTGTGGTGCTTCTCAGTTGGAGCTTTCCTGCCTGGCACACTGTTATGTGAAGAGAGTATAGCATGTGCTTTGTTTTTCTTTTTCTTAGAAATACAGAGCAAACATTGACTACCAGGTCATCATTAATATATATATGAATTGAGTCTGCTGAAAAAGACACAGCTCTAGTCTTTGAGAATGGATACATTGTGCTATGAAATTATCCATTGCACCACGTTATATCTGGAGGGTGAAGTTTTACTCGCACCATAATCTAGTCCTAAAGACTAAATATGCATCCTGAGTCGAAGGAAAATAAATTTTTACATCTTCATTGCTTGCCTTTTACCAGCAAGTGAAAACAAAGAAGCCTGTGAGAGAGAGCTCCGCTCCAATTTTTTTTTTTTTTAAACATCTCATGAATTTTTCAGTGAATCGGGATAAAAAGTAGAGGGCTCGCGTTTTGCTAGCCAAGCGAATAGCAATCCCGGTTCTTTCAGGACTAAAAATAGCAGCAACCCACCAAGCTGTGCTGAGGAGAGCGGCGGATTTAGAACTGAGGTCTGCATGATGTTCCCACAAAGACCACTGCCTCCAGCATCCAATAATAAAACCATATCATTCACAATATGCAACCTAGGAAAGTTTAGGCCCTAACAGGACCCAATACAGTAATTTGGTCGACCCGTCTCCTATTGAGGAACTACGGTATGTCAGCCCCACTGGTTATGAAAGCGTTCATCGATGTATCATCCTTAAACACCACCACATCAAGGATACGGGTGTTTTACAATATATGCACGCAGGGCCTACACGTGGCAGCTCCTACATCCATGACAGTTCAGGTAATTCAAAGTTCAACAGGCTATTGGTGATAAGCTGCTCTCATCAGCCAAAGTGTATGGACTGGTGGGGCAAACGATGGGGAATAATGGATGTTTCATAAGGGCTCCAACCAAGTCTGATTCAATTTGGTTTTTAAGGACGTCCTGCATCATTCCTTGCCGCATCACTGTGATGGCAGCTGATTTGCCGTCATCGCATAGAAGTTACTCGCTAACGTCCTGCTGTGTTTTCGCGTCCAGAAGTTTTAACAGAGAGCCCCTTCGTAACGCGCAATCTGTGACTAACTGCTGCGCCTCTCTCCCCGTTTTCTACCTCCAACGTGCTCACGCGCGGGGGTCCAAAATATGCCACGAAATGGCACACGTCGAGACTCAACCGCGACGACTGCCTGCTTTACCTGTAGATGCAGTTCCCATAGCAACGGGAGGCCTTTTCCCGTCGTCCGGGGAAGGGTGAAATCGTTGGTGCAGGTCGCCGGCCACCTCGCCGCCTCTCGGCTTGAATTCTTCACGGAGCTCGCCGAAGCGGGTCGGTGTGTTCCCAAACAGGCCGTTTTGCTCGTAGTCATCCCCGAACCACTTCCCCTCCGAGCCTAGCTCCTCACCGGGCTGACCAGACATGCTTTTTTTTCCTGTTATCGGACAGAAGAGATACTAGCTAACGGTTCTTCTTCTTCTTCTTCTTCTTCTTCTTCTTCTTCTTCTTCTTCTTCTGCTTCACCTTGTGCCGGGTTCTGTTTACTAAATAAAAAAATTAGCGGTAGTGGATTCTTTTCTCTTTTTTGCGCTAGAATGGGTGACAAGAGATGAGACAACAGACGAAAATGCAGCTTTATCGGCTCGCGTCTGTTAACCGAGCGGGTTCGTACACGCCACGGATGAGACGTTGCGGTCGGTCGGGGGAGCGAGAGGAGAGGAGTGAGGTTGATTGTTTTAGTTCAGTGCCCCGGCGGTGACGTCATGGCCGTCCGCCAGGCTCAGGGTTGGCACTTTAATTTGGGGTAGAGACACAAAAAAACAACAACAAAAAAAGAAGGTATTTTGGCGTAAAAATTAAGTGTTTGACATTGAAGGAGTGGGTGACAGCTGAATTATGTTTAGTGTGAAGAAACAAGCCTTGCGGGGACTCGGAGAGATAAGTCAGACAAATTAGACGCGGGGGGAGCGTTATGAAGATGGCAGAATATCAAAGTTCAATCGTAAAAACTGGATTTTTTTAAATGACACGAATTTTCAAGTGTGACGTTGTATAAAAAGTGTGCCCAAAAACAAATCAAGTAGTTATATATATAATTTTTTTTAAAGATGTATGTTGCAGTGTAGCTCCCTCATGTGGTAGCTTTAAATATTACCCGAACCGCCAACGTCTCAACATGGCTCCTTAGCAACCAGACGCGGCCTGCATGGAAACGGACTTATGCCATTAACAAACATTAGGCTGATCTCTCTTGGGCCACAGAGTTTTCAGCTCGGAAGTTTGCCGGTAATAATCCTTTGTTCTGGAAAATAGTGTTTTTTTTTAATGCAAGGGTGAATTGAAAACATGAATGTAACGTTAGCTAAAGTTAACACGTACACTATCTAACGGCACGGCTATTGCTACCTAGCTGGTAAGTTAGCATCAATGTGAGACAACATTTCGTATGTTTGTTTATTTACATGCTTAATTTGTTACCATAACATTACATCCCAGCTGGCAGCCTAATCGACATGGACCTTCTTTAGTTAAAATAGAGAAGGATATAGTTATGCAATAGAAGGGAAAATGTAATATTCTTCTAAACGTTATCCTGATGTAGTAAAGTTATAATACAGAGCGAGAAACAAATGAACCGCAGTGACGAAGAGGTGGTAAAAGAACTGGTGAGTATGAAATTCACATTCATTTTGCTAAAATGACAAATGGTTTATATCCAGTTTTACTATTTGCAAAACTATCTATGCATCTATATATTTTTGCTTGCATGATTTTCACTGCCACATCATTTTCCTATACAAGTTATGGTTCTCTTGAATATTATATTTTTTTTATCAACAGTGCTTGGCCAATGGAGTGTCCTATGAAAGAGTTGCTGAAGAAGGGAGCAGCGTCAGCTCCCTGGAGATCTTCTTCTCTGGTTTCCCCCGCATGGTTGGGCTTTCGTTCTTCCCAAGGCTCTGCCAGTTAATCGTACTGGGCCAGAACATAAAACACATGGAAGGACTTGAGTGCTGTCCTCTGCTTCGGGAGCTCTGGGTAGTCCAGTGCCATCTGACTGTAAGTTTGTTATGGTGGTCATGTTTTATAATCATTCTGGCTCCGGTGAAAACAATAATGCAGTATGTAATGCCTTGAATCATTAGTTCTTTTTGTGTTGTTATTGTGAGGGATTCTGACGTTTTGCTTTATTTTCTTAAACCTTGTACAATGTCACCACATTTCTCCCCTTTGTGGCATTTAAAGACAACAAATCTTGAATGCATTGACATTTATGCAACCCATGGTTTATAAAAGAAATAATGTGCAACTTCTTCTTATTTTTCAGGGGATATCTGGGCTACATAATTGTCTTCTACTAGAGAAACTTTACCTGTATGATAATCAAATCTGTGAAATAAAGAATTTAGAATTGCAGATCAACCTAGAAGTCTTGTGGCTCAACAACAACTGCATTACTCAGATAAAGGTTTGAACTCCCGTCTTCCTGTCTGTCAGTATGTTTGCATGTTTATCATACACTATTCTTCATTAAGTGTTGACCTCTGATTGTTTTTTTCTGAATTTCTGTTGAATTGACTACCAAAAACAACTATTTACAGGTTCTAAAAAATCAGTAAATATCACAGCTGCTTGGTTTTTTTAAACAGTTATGTGTGTGTTTTTCATTTTTCTCAAGGGCTTGAACATGCTTCAAAACCTCAAAGAACTAAACCTTGCTGACAACAATATTGAAAAGATTGGTAAGTTTTTTGATACCTCTGTATTTTAGTGTCAAGTTTAATTGCAATTCAGTGAGCTGTTCAAAAAAAATGTAATACTTTAAAATTCTTTTAAGGGCATGGCCTTGATCCTAATATCAGCCTTCAGATTCTTAATCTGGCCGGGAACCAGATCAGCTCATTTAAGGTGAGAAAAGAAATATGCTATTGACATTTCTTCTGTGAAAAGTTGTTCCTACTTATTTGTAATATCCTATTAAAATTGTTGGTCTTATAAGAGCTATTTAAAATTCTTGTGAAATGTCGGGGTCAAGTCACATTTTCACTTTTTTCTTCAATGGGCTGCACAGGCCTTCAGTAAGGTATTGAGTAGCAACATTTCAATTTATAACACTCAGGATTCAACGGTAAACATTCATGACTACATCAATACATCTATGACTACATTTCTATGCGATGTCGTTTTCTTATGATAGTCAGTAATACACTTTAGGCGCATACTGTGGCTGACAGACTAATTTAGAACATTTGTTCTTTCCTCTTCGTTTTGTTCAAGGGCATTTTGACGTGACAGTATTTTGGCTCAGGCCTTGCTCTGATGATTAACACCGTGATCATATTCCTGACATCTACCTTTTGGCACAACCCAGCTTGGCTTTGAGGAATGAACTATAGTCATTCACATATTCAAAACAGCTCGTCATTCTGCTCCTTTATCATTAATATATATATATTTTTAGCTGATGTGAGGCAGTATACAGTATATACAAATCAAATGCCAAAACACATATATGCATATATAATGGGGGGGGAGGACGCAAAAACCTCATTAATGACCCAGCCTGTGTATTGTTCTGTCATATGTTGGTGTAACAGGACCTGACCCTGCTTGCCCCTTTAACCAATCTGAGAGAACTAGCGCTGAAGGACTCTACGTCAACCTCAAACCCAGTGTGTCTTCTGTGTAACTACGCCACACACGTTCTTTACCACATCCCGGGCCTCCAGCGACTTGACACCTATGATGTGTTGAGAAAGCAAGTCAAGGAAGCGGCTGAGGTATTAAGAAGAAATGCAGCGTTTCTTTGTCACACCAACTGAGCTCATCCGGGTCACTTTTTATGGTTCTTTTCCGGGTCTTTGAAAGGGGTCGAGTTACTTTAGGTGATGATAAAAACGTTACGTTTTGCATAGCTAGCTTGAGAGATATTAGGAAAAATTACAACATCATACACATTGTTCTCTATTTGGTTGTAAATTGGGTTAAATAATTAAATCCATGACACATTTTTTAATTCCCTAATTATCACGCTGTTTTGTATTACATGTGGGCATTTCCTTTTAATTTAGCATAAACAATGTAATATATTAAATTATTGCGGTACACAAAATCTGCTTTGAAAAAAAGTATGCTATGCTTTTGTGATCTGTTGGTTTTGTTATACTCTTTAGTCCACAGTAATGAAGAAAATGATGTACTACAACATGCGTATACGTACTGCTCAGAGGAACCTGGCAGAGATGCAGCTCACTCTGAAGGAGAGGAAGAAAACTATGTTACAGTTACCAGAAGAATGCATCAGGACACTCAATCACGCCCTCAAGAGTGTATGTATACTTTTTTAAATGATTTTAACAGCTATAAAAAGATTGTTTGCTGTTTTACAAAGTTAAGAAATCTGCTTTCATCTGGTTGTATACTTAGCTTGAAGGTGAGCTCTCCAAAGGGCAAGCTAGTTGTGAGTCTGCCTGCACGTTGGGGGACGGTTCAATGCACCTGGTTGAAGGTTCAATCGACAGAAGTGACCCAACCAATGACACCGGTTGCGATCCAGCCCTGGAGCACAAAATACTCAACAAGATTGACGCACTGAGGGAGAGACTGGTGCTTTGGACGAGGAGGCTGGATGAGTCTGTATAATTGAATAACATACAAAGATAATTTTAATGGTTTTTCAGAGAATATATCATCATGGTGTGAATGAAACTGTGCTAATGTGAAAAAAAACAATGGTCCCTCTTCTGTATTCAGGGTCGAAGCCTGGTATGAGCGGAGTTTGACGCAAGCCACACGCATGATGGAATACACTGTCCAGTTTCTATTGATGGAGCTGGAAAGTGTTGGAAATATCTGTTTGGAGGAGGGCTGCTCCACAGACCCATGGTACACACAAGCCACAATATGATTAAATACAATTACAAATAGTCGCAGTTCACAAAGGACAAATAAAAAGCAGACCTTAACTTATTTTCTACAAAATGTACTCGACAGGTTTACTTCCTGTTGCAACCTCCTGCATTCCCGCTTCTCTCATTCAGACTTTAAGGTTTACAACATTGCTGGCATTACGATCACTAGAGTAATGCGCATACACAACCGTGCTTTAAGGCTGCGCTTTGGGGACAAATTTCACACCCTTCTTGAAAACGAAGAGTCTGATACTTCTTCGCAGTAAGTTGATTAAAAATGTAGTGAAAAGTGCTGATAATAAAATGTTTTAAAAACCAATTATAAACAATTCTTTAAACCTTACTATTTTTATCATAAGTAACATTATTCTTTAATTTACACTTTTCAAGTAGGAATTACAGACGTCGGCTGGAGCACTTGTTCTACGTAGCTGACCCTGAAAAAGGGAACGAGAGGGAAGACATTTTGAGCATTCTAGCTGAAGGCTTCAAAACAACCGAGCAAAATGAGGTGTGTTTACTTCTGTCCAACAACACTGCATCGCCTCGAATATATTCCTCTGAGAAAAACTACTTTAAGCATGCAATTCACGGATTAGTAACTTCCCCAAAATCTACAACAGTTTCAAAAATGTTTTTATAGATCATTTTTATATTGAAAGTCCCACGTTTGAGAACAGGAATAACTACACACAAGTGCTGTGAAATAGAACAGAATCTGTCATTTTCATGTTTTCACACAGTCTTAACATGTTTACTAGGCATCGGAAAGAGAGGGTGCAATACCTTTATCCAACAGCCTGAGTTTGGCTGAAGAGCCCAGAATTGAACACGCACTGCGCTGTGCCAGCCAAGATGGTTTCAACCACTGTACGGACACAATACGCTTCAGGCACGGTGAGTTACGTTCAGGTCTTGCTCATAGATAGAATTCTATATACTCCCCTCAGCTGTGACTGTAGTTTTTTCTTTTTCTAAAACGATACTGTTTTCTACCGGTAGGTCAGATTATTGTTTCAAAAGTTTTTGTGGGCCACAGCATGCCTCTCCGAGAGGGCGACCCGCTGGACAGAAGCCTGTATCCCAGAGCCTACTCTGTTTATCACAATGTGGAGGCTAAGCACGGACCTGCGATAAGTGAAGGTATACTGCATTAAAAATGCAACAAAACATCCTTTATGTCCATATTCATGAGGTGTGTTTACATCTGAGTGTGCTTTTCATTTAGAGGGACAAAACTCAACAAAAACACAGACGGGTCCTGAGTGCAGTCCCAGACGAAGACAGTGGTTTGTGTTCGACCGTGAGCTTGTCCTGCCTGAGTACATCATATATTTTGAATACATCACCACCAAGGTAATTCATTCCTGGGTTTTGTTAGTGTTTGATATGATAGGTCTGTCATATCTTCTTCTGTTCTTTCTTTTTGTTACACCAAAGGGAATATCATCCTATTGTTATTATTATGACAAATATATAAAGATAAATCCCTTTTCCTGCGTACCTCTGCAGGGCAGTCTCGTGATCAAAATTTGTGTTATCATGGATTTTACATATATTAAAATATAATTCCTATTTTTTTGTCAGTTTTCTAGTTGCATAGTTGTTTTAAAAATTGTAATTCTATTTCAATAATCCGTTACAAATCACTCATTGTTTACCTACCACGCAGTTCATATGGTTTGTGTTATGTTGTCATAGGATCAGGAAAAACAAAAACACAACGGGGGCATTGGCGATACATCCAACGATGTCATCTTAGACCGGGAAGTCCTTAACATGGAACCTTTGCTGAAACCGCAGCCCAGGTTGTTGAGCTTGGATGACAAAATTCTGCTTAATGTCACCCGAGCGAATGTCCTCAGTCAAATCACTGTAAGTCCGGTTGGCGGTTCGAAGGGCGGCTTGAGTTTTGAAGCCGTTTCACGTTGCATTCCCACGATAATCTTCCTTGCATTGATCGTCCAGGTGCTGAACCTTCATGGCAACAGTCTGAGTAAAATAAAGGAGATTTCCCGCCTCACAGCTCTGCGGCGCCTTACCATCAGCTTCAATGAGTTCACACACTTGGATGACATTTCTCACATGGTAGGGAGATGACAATAGGAATTGTTTTTATTAAGGTTAAACTGAGATTAAGTCATGAGAGTCATAAGAGATTAGCGTTATCATAGTAACCGCTGTTATGAACACTGTATTTTTGCACCGTAGCATAAAGTGGAATCTTCTAACGTCTATTGTCTCTATTACGTAAAACGCAGCCCAACCTTGAGTTTTTGGACGCAAGCTACAATCGCCTAGTGACCCTGGAAGGGCTGAAGAAGTTGGGACAGCTCAAACTGCTCGACCTGCGCTGGAACCAGCTGACCAAGGCCAGAGAGGATACAGCTGTGCTGAGAAAACACACCCCTGCTCTGCTGAAGCTCGATACCCGACATAACCCTTGGATCAGGGTGCGTGCTTTCATCCCAAAAATAAAATCAAAAATGTAAGGAACAAGGAGCATGAGGTGCTTCTACTATTTTTTTAGTCTAAAACAGTCCGAATGACCATACTCGGCCGTCTAACATCCCTCACACACCTGGACGGTGCGATGGTAGCAGAGGAGGAGGCTTCCTATGCAGTTCTGATGGCAGCTGGATCCAAAATTAACCAGGTTAAGATCTTACAGATTACAATAAGGAACGCACACAGTCTGAACATCTACCTGTATAGTTCAGGACGCACGGTAATTAAATTAGAGCTCTTGACTTGCTGCTCGCAGGCATCTCTTCTGGCTCACTCAAGTACCAACAGTGGTCGACCTCGCAGTCTCAGCCTGCTGTCAACAGCCCAGCTCCTGTGTCCTCTCAGTCCTCCCCCCTTGAGCCTCAGCCGAGAGCTGGAGCTTGACTGGACCGCAAAGGTGAGCTACAGACTTGTGGGTTTCTCCCAAAAGGTAAGATTTCAAAAAGTGCAGTGCAAACTTTATCAAAATGTCTCCTCAAGTATGGATGATGTTAATTATGTGCCATGACATTTGTATACTGTAATACACGTTTAAGAAATAATTAATAAATGTCTCTGTGTGTTTGTGGCCCTAAATGTTGACTAGATCACTGTGCTGAACCTTGACAGCCAGAGGATTTCCAAACTGATCAATCTGAATAAGCTGGTCAACCTTCGCTGGGCTTCCTTCAATGATAATGACATCACCAAAGTTGAGGGTCTTGACAGCTGTTTGAAGCTGGAGGAGCTTTCCCTCAACAACAACAGCATTAGCACACTCAATGGTTAGTCACACACTCACTTTGACAATGAAGTTGGAATTACAGAAAAAAGGAGTTGCATCTTATTTAGTCTTTCACACCAAACCTTAGCACATCAGCCGTCATTATTTCTCTGTGTTGTCTTTGCCTTCTGTTTCTTCAGGACTATCAAACCTACATTGTCTCAGTAAACTGAGTGTAGATGGAAATCAGCTGTCTAGTCTGGAGACAGGCTTAGACCGGCTGCCTAACCTGTCCTTTGTTTCCGTGGAGAACAACTGTATCAGCAGCCTGCGTGGCATCCACAGAGTCCGCTCCCTTCTTGAGCTCTACATTGGCAACAACCGAATCTCTACGTCCCGGGACATCTACTATCTGAAGGCAAGTGGGAGAGAAAAGAGGACTGTAGGTTTCGGATCATCACACGGTTTTTCATGCATGCAGTCAAAGCTCATATGCTCCTCTTTCTTTTCAGGGATTGACAAACCTCATCATTCTGGATCTTTATGGGAATCCTTTAGCAGAGAAACTGGAAAACTATCGGATTTATGTAGTCTTCCATCTACCCTCCCTAAAAGCTCTGGATGGCATAGCAGTGGTATTTACGGACATTGCAGCAGTATTATAAAAAGAAAAACACAAGCAGTCCTATCAGATATTGTTATGTATCTGCTGTTTTTTGCAGGAGGTGACTGAGTGTGAAAGTGCAAAGGACATGTTTGGAGGAAGACTAACCCCTGACATGATAGCAGAGAAGCTGGGCCACTCAAACTGCACAGACATCACCTACCTTACCCTGCAGTCCTGCTCCATTAGGTACGAGTCTGGCTAAACAGACATAAAGACGCCCATAAATGAGCATGTCTATAGTGATTTACATCGTTTGAAAGGCAGGAATAATTAAATGTGTTTGTTCCTCCACAGGATAGTTGATCTGTCTCCAGTCGACCTGTTCTGTGGCCTGCGCAGTGTCAACTTAGACCACAACAACCTCACCTCTTTTTCTGGCCTCATTTTCCTGCCCAACATCAAAGTACAAATTGCACTGCAATGTCAAAAAAAACAGCTGGCTTGAAAATCACCCGAGCCGTAGACAAATTATTTTCCATTGTTTTATTTTAGGCTCTTTGTCTGAACTACAACCACGTTGAGTCCATCCTGCCCAGACAGAAGACTCAGGCTTCGCTCACAAACAGACAGATTCTGTACAGCAAAGTTCACTCCAGTGGTTACGGCCAACACAGCCCATCCAAAGGCAAAGGGTAACACGGTTCTTACTCACGCGTATTTTTACATTTTACCATGTCTGATTGTTGCCGTGGGTGAGGAATGTGTAAATTGTAACCAGTAGGGGGCAGCACTGACCATGCAGTGAATTCAATGTCTCTTTTTTTGCCTCAGTTGATACTTACAAACCATCATAAAAACAACAGTTTCAAGACCATATTATTATTTATTTATAAAATAAATATTATTTATAAAATAAATAATAACGTAAAAGTGTATTTCAAATTATATGAAATTCTAACAACATTATTTCATAAAAACCAGCACACAAGCAGTGCTGTGGTTTTGTTTGCACTGGATGTAATCGCCTTTGAGGTGGTCTATTTGTGTGAGGTCCGACCAGTTAAATGAGACAGCAGGAGGGCGACAAAGATGTTCATTTAACCACAGAGGTTTCAAGCTGTCATTCTGTGACTTTGTTTAAGGGAAACTGGGGCCACTGTCGGTCTGGAGCCACTGATGGAGAGCCTGGAGGTGCTGCATTTGAGTCACAATGGCATCTCCAATATGGCCAATCTGCAGCTCAGCAGGCTCACCAATCTCAAAGCGCTCTTCCTTCAAGGTATGTTTTCTTGGCGCACCAGCCCTCTCCCACGCAGCCTGTTGAAAGTGCATAGAGCCTGTGAAAAGGCAAGCACTGAGCGCAAAGTCTCCCATAGACTGTAGGCCAGGCGGGAGATGAGACCAAAGAAAAGAATGACTGACTGACTTTCTTTCAATCGCTTTTGATGGCTTTTGATTGAGTTTGTCTTTGTCAGGGGCAATTTGTCCCACAAAGCCGACCATGCTTGTCCTTTCTTCATTTTCTGCTTCGAAACCTTTCAAAGGCATCTCTGTAATTTCATTGCTTTTACACCTGGGCATCCGACAAACAAATGTTAATTTTGCCTTTTAAATGCTGCTTTTTATGTTCTTTAGGCTGTTCAATTTACTCCTTTTTTGTACATAACAATATAAGACTATTACTTGAAATACCATCCCATTGTTTTGATGAGGTTTCTCTCCCGATAGATAACGAGATCAGCCAGGTGGAAGGATTGGAGGGCCTTCACCAGCTGAGAGAGCTTGTGTTAGACAGGAATCGGGTCAAAGTTCTGGCTGCTAACTCTTTCATAGCCCAGAACGTCCTGCTTGAACTGCACCTAGCAGAGAACCGGATCCGGGAGCTCAACCATCTTGATCCTTTGACTGAGCTCCGCAAGCTCTTTCTTGGCATGAACAAGTTGCAGGTATTTTCCTTCAGCACCACTGGTCCCCTCATAGGATGGATATTTATAATGTATATATTTTATTTTTTGATAAAATTGCATATTCCGATTTCCTTTGAAACCACCTTAATGAGTCACACCACAAGGATTTCCGGATGTGACCACCAAGGTCACGGTAAGCTTTGGTGCAGCTTTTGATTTATCACCACATTTTACTGATTGGCTCATATGAAAAAATGTTTAAGAATGTATTTTATGCGGCGTGCAACAGTATTACTTTTCCCTGCATTTGCAAAGTAAGACATGAAGTATAGTAATCATGAGTCATTACCACCCCGCTGTGGCGTGCGAGGGGTAGCATTAAGGAGAATCAAGTTTGATTGAAGGTCAGGGCCGCTTGTATGAAGAGAGAGAGGAACAATCAGGACAACGTGTAATCAGCTTCTCAGTCTGCATCTGCTTCTCACCCGGGGCGAGTGATTTGTACTTTTGTTGCTAGTTCCTTCTTCCCTTCTCATCCTTAATGTTTCTATGCATTCAATTAAGATATAAAATACAGCAATCATCCCAGCACTACAGGGCGGACAGTGGGGGCGTCTTTGAATTACGGCCAAATGCAACCATAAACCTGGGAATGAGAGAAAACACCCCTGTGCCCCTTTGCGTGCCAAAACTCTCATGAGATTAATGAGAGCTCACACATGTAATCTCTCCCATCAGCTGCTTCTGGCCTCCATAACCCCAAATTATGAAAGGTTCTACTCCAATACAAATCTCTCCATTTTCAACACACAGTAGACCACAACCAGTTTGAAAGGTGCTCCAAATGCGGTGGTAGTGAAAGTAAAATGCTTTAATAATCTTTGTTTCTTTACATTTGTAGGACATCACAGAGCTTGACAAACTAGAAGTTCTTCCTTCGCTGACTGAGCTCTCTGTTGTTGGAAACCCCGTAAGTGTTTTTGGCATCAAACACGTTTAGGTAAAGTGAAGAAACATTTGCCACGTTTGTTTCCCTATTGTGAGTTTCGCCAAGTGATGTGAATCCACTTACCTTCGGTCACAGGACAGTTTTTCTTCCACTCACCAGCAAATGATCAAAAGCATGCCCGAACCGGCTCAATTTCCAATCCAAAACACTATCCCAGTGTAACTCTATGTTTCCAAATTAAGCGATTACATGATGGGCCATCTGCTGTGCCTCAAACTGGCCGGCATCAGAGACAAATCCCTTGACCAAATGGCACGGCACTATTGGTGCGGTTACATCACCCATCTGGAGCTGATGGAGCAGGCATGAGCAGAGCCTGCAACCCAGGGCCTTCCGATAGTCCGTTGGGCAATGCTCAGCTGCGGGCGCCTCTATTCTGCTGGACCCCATCCCGCTTCTCTTCCCACAGGGGGGGTTAATCCTGCCAGGCGGTAGAGGCCAACAGCCACCCCGGAGACAATACCTCCTGCTGCTGACAGCATGAGATTGCTACCTCACCCATGTTCCCCGGCCAAAGTCTGTCTTCTCCACTCCACTGGACATCCAGTGGCACGCACTCACAACTTACTCACATCACAGAAGCGGTGTCCTATAGGAACACAAAGTTCTGTGACTGGACCGGACGAATGTGTACCACAGGATGCCCTCACATGGGAGCTATCTGCTGCTGTCAGATGGGTCACTGCGACAGCTGTTGGAAACATGATAACTAAATTGGGACCCACATAGCATCCTGTTTATGCCAGACGCCTCAGGGCAAGCGTCACTAATGTTCCACAATAATATTGACGAACTCTATTATTTATCACTGCATTTTTTTCATCAAACAGGTCTTTTTTATTTCTTCCAGGTGACCAAAACCTCTCTCTACAGACCGGAGATGGTACTTCGCTTGTCCCAGTTGCAAGTCCTGGACGGAGTGATGGTCACCCTGGAGGAGACGACCAGGGCCGAGCTAACAGTGAGAACTGCACACAACACGCATGTTCACTCAGGAACACACAGGATGGATGTAAATAAATGGGATGGGGCGTAGCTGCCATCTCGGACACAAAGTTATTTGTAGCGTTGCAGTGTACTACATTTTTTGTTTGTTTTTGTTGCAATTTGATTAGTTTAAGGCCAACAAAATGAAATAAAACATAGGTATTTACTGCAATATATGATGATGAAGTCCAATAATATAAAATAATACAAATACAAAATAATCAAAATATCAACCACCAAAACAAAAAAGGGTAAAAGCTAGGATCAATCTCTTTCAGTTTGACTGTTCATGTAATGAGAAACCAAGGCAGTGATTCTCCTGCAGCTCTGAATTAAAAGCAGCCTAAGCCTGATGGCATCATCCTGCTGATTAGATGAAATGTGCCCAGCCGATAATGCACCAGTGGATTTACCCCCTATTAGCCAGGTCAACTCGACCCCCTCTGCTTGTTAGCATTGTAGACGTGGAAATGACCGAGCAGAAGTCCTGCGTTTTCTCATTAAAAACACAAACTCCCCCTATCGACTTCTCATAGCTGTCATCTCGGTTGACCGTCAAGTTACGCTTGTTCCTCTTCTTTTGTTTGAATTGTTATTGTTATTGATGAGTATATTTTAATACTCCTCCAATAAGATGCTTATATATGTGGAACAATAAGCAATCTAATCTCCAATCGCTCGCCAAGTGTGCAGGATGAGTGGCCCAACAGAAGTGACATTGGGCTCATAGAAATAGGAAGAAATAGAAAAGAGAAGTTGTTCCAGCTAGGATGCAAATGTCAGTAGGCCCTGAAGTCTCCGATTATCTGAATAACTGCTTGGGTTTTTAAAGGTAATCATGTCCTGGATTATTACTTCCTTCTTCCTCGTGGTCCTGATTTAATGTTTCTCCTAAAGGCCTTCTCCCAAAGCCCTGGATCTTCACTTCCTACCACTGAAATAAGTCTACCTGTGCGGCTACCCATCATCCCCCGAAACCCCCCTCTGGGAGGAATGAATAGAAGCGGGTCTCTTTATAACTTGATGCCGAGTAACGTGGATGAAGCCCAATCTCATTACACATACCAGCGTGAGTGTGTCTCTTCAGGATAATGACTTTTGTTACAGTTAAAATGATTCCTTTTCTACTATACATAAAAGTAAACTATACTGTGTATTGCCAATGGTTTGACACCCCTTATTTCACACCATTTTATTCATTCCCAATTCAGAGAAGAAGCATAAGCACGGTAATGCTGTTCGGAGCGGCCAGGCTGATATTACATTTAGACACATTCGCAGAACAGGAAGCGACCTGCCAACCGCCGGTTCCCTCTATGATGGGAGCAGAGGCGTCATCACCTATCCCAGCCAGGAGCAGGACAGCAGGTTGGAAAGACTTCAATCCAAGAGACATCAAATGTAAGGGATCTGTTTAATCATTTTGTTTTCCTCGTATTGTTATTTTTCAGATTTCCGAATGGTGGTAAACCTCCAACTATGTAGTGGCTAGAAGAGGTGGCTCATACCTGGAAACATGATTGTATTTTATTGTATTCTGAGAATGGTGTTTTTGTTAGTTTGCCTTCATTTTTGTGAGCATCACAAGTGCAATTAAATTTTTAGGTAAAACATGTTTGGGGTTAAAATATTAGGTTACATGTGGTGCATCCCCCTCACATGCATTCATAATGACCGTGACCTTGTTTTTTATCCACATATGTGGATCACTAACCATGGTAATCTGAGGATGAGAGGTTTTGGTTTCATTTCTACTGCCCCGAACAAGTGAAAAAACACCCACAGATGTAAGGGCGTGTGACGCTGGCATGCTGCTTCCATGGGGTCAGAAGGACCCCCAGCAAGTTGATAATCCAGCTTTAACACACCTCTCTGTGGACAATAATCTGCAGTCACTCAGATAAAGTTGTAATTTTGAATGAGGTCCAAATGGATTTGAGAGCTTGTCAGTTTCATCATGTTAGCCTCTTTTCGTAAAGCCCTCCGCCGTTTTGAGTAATAGGCAAATCTCGTGTGTTGTAACTGGAAATGAACCCACTCTATTTGATATTGATGTTATTTCTGATGAACATGAGAGTATAATCCTTCCCGTCTTCTTGACAGTTTAGCCGAGAGTCCTGTAGTTAACAAAAACACCAGTCTGAGCCTTAAATGAGGATACAGGCCATAGGATGTGTCTAAAACATGAATTCTGGGCCCTATTAACTGATCTTTGCATGATGAAAACCCCCACGTGAAATTATTTAGATCTGTTTCCACCAAAATACCTACAGTAGCTGCTGTGCAGACTGTCATCTTTCTCACCATCTTCTTTTTAGATTTTAACAATTGTTTGTATTTTATCACAATGCATACACAACATATTTGCCAACTATTTTAAGTTGTGTTAAGGACACCCCAGAAGAATTAACATGTCTTTGTTTTGAAGATTTATTTTGCTCATTAATTTAGATGTATAGAAACCTAAATTTGTGCGAGAAATGTTTGTATAGAACAATGATATTTAACAATTTGAACGACAAAAAAGTAAGGAACAAATGCTGAAAAAAACAAGATCAATCCCATGCATATTAATTTGCACATACAGAGAGAACCCCCCCCCCCCCCCTCATCTCCTTTGTAGGAGCAGAAAACACTTTCTGTCATATTTATATGACCACTAGGTGTCCTTAGAGCTCCGTTTCCTCTCCTTGCACAGCGCCACTAATCAGTCCTCAATGTATTTACCACCTTCCCCATAGATGGTAATTCGTCACCGTTGAGTGTGGTTATGTGTGGTTACAGTATGTGTGTATACTTTAGTTTTGTGTTCCCTGCCTGTGTGGCCTCCGCTGAACATGCGAGGCCACAACAGTGAAAGCTCTCCCCGAACCAGCTCCTCTAATGCATGTACTTAACTTCACTTAATTTGTGTTAATTCCCAGCATTAAGCGGGGGTAATGACTGTGCAAGTGAGTGCACTGTCATTACCTTGCTCTGCCTGACATCAAATGGCAGCTGATAAAGGCACATATAAAAAAAAAACCTCTAATGCACAGATTTGGGAGCTCTGGGAGAGCTCTCAAATGCATTAGGTATTGCAAAGGATAATTACACAGTTTAAATGTAAAGTATGTGCAGTAAGAAATATCAGGGTTTTAATACAGTTGTATGTCTAGTGTAAGTTTATAGTGAGCACACCGCTTCATACTGTATGCTTCACTTTGCATATCTGTCAGCGTTCTTAACATTAAAACGACATTAGCATAAAGATTGTGAATAATTCATTAGTCCGGAGTGAATTCAAATGCACTGCTCTCTCTATCTCTCTCTCTCCCCCTCACTTCGCTCCTCCATGTGAGTAGACCACATGGTTTGTAGCTGGTTTAATGGGATGGAATGTGACAGGTTATGTTTTCATCTGCCTGATATGGAGCCCGGCTCGGGAGGGAGGGAACGAGGGGGAGAGAAAGAGAAAGAGAGGGTGGAGAGGGAAAAGTGAGTTGGTCTCCAAAGTTGTGGTGGGGATTTATAATTAGACATATTTTGCTTGTTTTGAATCAGTTATAGATGATGCTCTCCTTTCCACACACACACACACACACACACACATGTCCACATAGAAAGAGCACATGCTCGGTATGGGGCCATTACTTCTGGTCCACTAACTCCCTACATTTGCTGTGTCTGTGCATCCAGAGCACCATTAGTCCAAGACTCTGAATAATTGCTGAATGGACCGTGTTTTCACTGCTATCTACTCAGGTTGCAGTGTTGGTTGATGTTGTGGGTGAAGTGAAAGGGATGAGGACCTTGATTGATGTTTGATGCTGGAGATGATGCCGCATCTCGTGCAATGCTTATCAAACCATTATGCACCGTACATGCAATGGATGATGAAACTCTCCAAAGCTCCACGTGCATTACACATTCATCAGTTTGTATTAACTTCAGGGGTTACAATTACATCAACATCATCGCTTGACTTGGAATTGCTGTTCAAAAAATAAAATGTTTTCTCTGCATCTGGCTGCGGATATATAGCAAACAAATTCACGTAATGAAAATATAGATTAGTTTCTTTTCAAAAGGGGCACATTATGTTGCAGAGTTCATTTTCCATCACCACAAATACATCCTCTATTCAAAAACAATCTTGCCATATTGCTTCTCTTGAAATCTCTCATTGAGTTATTGTTGTCAATTGTCACTTTCCTGTAATGTATTTTCTGTGAGGCTCCATGGAATAAAGCGTGAATAGTGAGAATGCAGTGAGATTGACAATTATTATGAAAAGGAAAATGCTCTTATTTTGTGCAGATATTTACAATGGCAGCATTAAATCTTAACTAGTTTTCATTTCTAGACATGCTGCAATTTATCACATTATAGAAGTTGCATATCATTCATAACATTGTTCAAATCAAACGGAGCGTGTTGCTTTGCTAAAATGGCCCAAATAAGTCAACCAAACAACTCACAAATGTTCAATTTCCTTGGAAATTGGACACAAATCTATTTTCAGACCACCATGGTCTGCTCCTTGCAGATTGCAGCTAATTTGGTGACAGCCTTTTTATTTCATGAGATTTGCATTTTTTAAATAATTCTTGAGTCTCAATCAGTTGATATTCGTCATCAGTCGTCTATAACAAAAGTGGAGTAACAATTTTGAATAAGTGGTGCAATAGGAGGATTACAGAGTATAATACATGTTGTCGTGACTTACAAGCTTTTCTATTGTTGTAGTTTATTGTGTTCTAGACAAAGGAGAAATTGCTTTTTCAAGATGACAAGCAAACACAACGTCCTACTCACCCTTATCCCCAAAGCCCCAGTGAAGAATAACAACAACAATTTAATCTCCTTGGCTCCAGATTATTATCTTTCTTTGTGTTGATATTTTGTCCTTTTGTTGTCCTTTTTATGATCCTCCTTTTTACCCTCCCGCTCTCAAGTAAATCATCCATTTGGAGAGGCAGGCGCTTGACCACAATCACTTTCATTATATTGAAATAATATAATACTTGTAGGATTTACTTTTTTTGTATTAAGAACATGATAACAACGATTTGGGATGTAATATTAATATTTCTAAACCATTGTGAGAGTTTGGGGTCAACTAAGCGCATTTGAATCAGGATTTAAACACAAGGGAGAGGTCAAGAATATATTTAGGAGATGGAGGATGAACAAACCTTTAACGTGTCATTTAATGTAATCATTGCAAAGAGGGATGGTCTTTTCCTCGTTTGCTGAAAAGCGATTTTGATCGTTTGTTATTTATTGAAGAGCCAGATCTGAATTTTCTTTGTTGACTCATTTATGTAGTTTTGTCAATTTTTCATACAATACAATTTTCTCAATGTAATTTTTTCAGTTAGAATTGAATCCTCTCCTAAAAAAACTGTCAATCATTGCTCTGTCAGACAGTCTCCTGTGCTCTGATGCATTTCAGGCTGATCGGATACCAATATGATCGAGTTGGTATACCTAGAGGCATCAATTTATTTCTACATAAATTAGTCTTTAACGTGATGAAAAACAGTTCCCCAGTGATACCTGTCAAACAGGGATAGCCACGTGCCAACGTTTTGGTCCGTTTATTAGTGATCACACACGGATTGACGCACTGCAATTATCCACAGCCCGTTTAAATCGCAGCATCACATCTAAAAGTTATAATCCGGTGTGTGATGAGCGGCGTTGGTATGTTGGTACACTCATTTGAGAGACGATCTGGTTGGCAATTGTGTGCAACGGAGCGCGTATAACACAATCTTTGCAGTGTGTGTTGATGAACACCCAGCATACAACTGCTGTTTAATGACTCGATTGCTACAAATACAGAGGAAATAACGCGCACACACTCAGGTGTAGCGATACAAATACGGCGTAGAATAGGCACATCCTCATTCTGCAGATCAGCAGCATTGACCGTGATTCCTGTGCTGATGGCTTGTCGTTTCTCTAATCCTCATAAATATCGTTCTCTTTTGTTTTGATCATACGTGAATGTAAGGGGGCGGGGTCAGATGGTGACGGGGCAGGGCTTAATTGTTTTAATCCAATCAATGGGCGCGCTCTCTCCTTCTCGCCACTCCTATTGGTTACAATCTGTCTGTGTATTATGCCGATGTTGCTTGGCTTTCAAACGGTTAGCTCGCTGCTAATGTTAATGTTGGCGATTTTCGCCTATTTTCCATAATTCTACTTATATCTTCAAATATTACACAGAGCTTGGCTACGGCGGTTTTGTTCTCCTTTTAACGGTAAGTTTGTCTCAAGTCAGTGTGAACCCAGGTTGCCAACCTGCTGTTATTTACCTGTTAATGCTAACATGCTAACGTGTTGTCAAGCAGAAAACCTCCTGGCATTGCTAACTAGCTAACAAAAATCTATCTGACGTTTGCTTACGTAAAAAGATGGGAACAGTCTCAAGGAGGTCCAGAAACTCATTTACTTGTAGCTGTTTACCTGGTTTGGCTATATGGCAACTCGAAATGTCCGGGTACTAGCTTGACCAGGTTAGCCCCACGTTAGTGCATCCATGGCTACTGCCGATGTGGAATGTTTTCATGGCAACTCAGCAACTGTTGCTCAGTGGTCCGTGTTTGTTAAACAACAGAAACCAAAGGACGTTATTAATACATCCGCTTTTATTGGAGACCCATAATACTACGTGCTAACGAATACATTGAACACAAGTTAACTCATGTTAATAAGGCACAGACTAGGGTCTTCTCCTATGACCATGCCAGTGATGTATTGTATTAAGGCATCTATGCCTTAATGTTCGTTTGACTTAAATGCTTCCTCCATTGCCTGCTAACGGAAGGTGTGCTTCATTGCAGACAGCTTCACATTGCATGGGACAATGAATGGACCCCCTACTCCGGCTGTGTGGAGATGACCTGCCACCCCTTTGGGAATGGTCAGAATGGGGCCAGATGTGCCCCTTCTTAACGAGTACAAGCAGGAGTTCTTCTGGAAGCGCTTCCCCCAGACCGTGTTGGGAGGTCCACGCTTCAAGTTGGGCTACTGTGCCCCCCCGTACGTGTACGTCAACCAGGTAGTCCTGTTCCTGACGCCATGGCTTTTCGGGGGCATTGGTACGCTGCTGTACCAGCTGCAGCTGCTTCAGGAGCTCCATGCCACAGTGCTCTCCGGTATGCTCATGTTCGGGGCAGCAGCGGGTGTCCAGGCCCTGGCACTGTACGCCGATCAGAGGACCGGCACGGTGGAGAGACTGGGTGCGCCCAACATCCTGGTCGATGACGAGGACGTGGAATTCACCCACTGTGTCAGCTCAGAGACGGTCCGATTTATTGCCCCGGGGAAGCGGTTCGGACTGAATGTGGTGCTACATACAATGCTCGCTGGGGTGCTCTGTGGCTTCGGGACGTGGTACGTGTTCCTCGGCAGACTGACCGCTCTTTATGACAGCATCGGCGTATCCCTCGTCGTCTTCGTCCTGAGTTGGGTGACACTTTGTATCGCGGAGTATTCCCTCATCGTAAATACAGCCGCAGAGACGGCCACTTTCCACGCACAGGACACTTATGAGATCACCCCACTCACACGGCCCCTCTACATTTTAATTTTCATTGCTGTGGACATGGCGGATAGGTGAGCAACAGCAACACACAGTAATCTGATTTGAATTGAGGAGTCCTCTTTTTATAACGTTTGCTCTCATTATTCATCTCAATGCCTTGGTCTGATTCAGGTTCTCCGGGCCTGCCCCTGAGCTCCAACTGGCCAGCCAGGTTCTCCATGTGCTGTTCCTTTTCCTACCTCTGCTTTGGGCGCTCGGTATACTGCCTCCCCTTGATGCCCTGCTCCTCTGGGGCATGGAGCAGACGCTTGTTTTTGGGTTAGGGGGCTCGCCCATGTCCAGCAACCTCAGGTAAGTATTAAAGACAATGCTTCTTGGCTTTTATCTGCAGTTTTACACTACAGGAGATCATCTAAAAAGTTGCAAACGACATAATGAACCGCAACATGTCTGTAATTGACACCAGTAGATCCCTCATGTCATGAGATAATAGGAAAAATTCTGTCTCTGCTGAAAATGATATATTTGTAATTTCTTATATATAGTAGAGTGTGTGTGTGAGTCGGCAGTTGGATATTTAGTTTCAAAGTCATTTTGTCGGGGCAGTAATCATGTATTGTATTTGTGGAAAGGATTATTAGTCATAATCTCCACTTTGAGCTCTCGTTTTGAAGAATCACACCAGCATTTTGTGTACCTTGTGACACTTGGATTTCTTACCTCCAATATTTTACAGTGGACGTCTGACCGTAACACATTTTTTGTTTGTTCTTTTAAGTGGGCAATTAGTTCTCAGTGGATTCTAGTGGCCCCATTCCAATGGGAGCAGTGACCGGAACCTGTAAATCATCAGCACTGACCTATTGTGTATACGCTGTCCCACAGGCTGCTGCTGATGTTCGGAACATCTGCTGGCGTAGCAGTGTGTAATTACTTCATCCCATCAACATTGGGTGTGGTTCTCTTCTCCATCTCGACGGGATTTCTGCTGAGCCTGGACCTCAGCCAGGTTGGCACGCTCTGCAGAGGCCCCAGAGCAGCCTTTGGGGAACGCGGATTTCGAAGAGGAGGGTCCTCAACTCCTCCACCCAGTTCATTTGGCTGGAATCTGGGCTGCAGGGAGCTGCTGCTCTATTTGAGCCTGTTGTTGGTGGCGATGTCAGAGGCGGGGCTGTTGCATCACTTCCTCGGTTCAGCTCAGTCCCAGAGCTGGTTTAAGGGACCCCAGGCTCCTGTCAGCTACCTCCTGCTAGTGCTCTTCTGCTTCTGTTGGGCTCTCAGAGAAATCCAGGGGGCCTATGTAGTTGGAGGGGTATTCCTTAATCCGCTGTACCCTAAAGGCATGTCCAATGTGCAGACTTTCAAGCAGAGAAACAGAGGATTATACATTGCTGCAGCAATCAGAAGAGTTCTTCTTTATCTCGGTGAGGTTGTTTGTATTTAAAGTCTAATATTGTCCAATCTCAGTCGCTCTGTCTGTGAAATCTATTTTTCTTACTAGCAATGACGGTCTGTTTAACTTCACAGTGTCTCCGTTTGCAATGATTGCTTTCCTGTCCCTGGACAAGTCTCTGCATCTTCTCCACCGGGTTTCCCTCAGTGTGGGATTCACACGAGCCTTTAGAGTGGTACGCTCACACTCACTCTTCCTCATAATTTATGTCGATATGAACAGAACAAGCAGAAAATATACACTACAATAAAGACCTTTTTAAAGTGAAGACGAGTAGATTCTTAATGTAACCAGGAGAAAAATCATATAAAAGTCGAGTAATGAAAAACCTGTCGTCCTGGTACCTTTGCACAATTGAGTGTGTCATGCTGAAATCTTGCGCTCAGCAGAAGTGGTTGCTTTTTGTGCAGGTGTGGCAGAATTCCGAGGATGCCCTGCTGCAGATGGTGGTGGTGGTCCTGGTGCGGCTTTCAGCTGGAAACGACATGCTGCCAGGGTGGGACAACCTGGGCACAGGAGTTCAGCTTCTTGTGGTGAGGTCAAAGCCAATGTCTCTCTTATTTCCACCACACATTGGAAACCCCTTGGTCAGTGTTGAACCTGCAGATTTGTAGAAAATGTCTCTTACATATAGTACATTAAATATGCATCAGCTGACGAGACCTGATGGTGCATCAGTAGATCCCTGCTCTCGATGTGTGTTCCAAACCCAGGTGGGCCTCCTGATGGACCGAGTGACCCAGTTCCTCACCAAGCTAAAGTTCACCTTGACAGTGTTGGTGACCTCGTGGACGGAGAAGAAGCAGCGGCGTCAGTCGGCTGGAACCCTCTTGGCTCTGAATGCCTCCCTATGTCCACTGTTGCTCGCGGTGGTGACCCTGTCTGCACTGCTCTCCGCCCCTCTGCTGCCTCTCTTCACCCTGCCCATCTTCCTGGTGGGGTTCCCGCGACCTCAGCGCAGCTGGCCGGGCCCCGTCGGTACCGCCTGTCCCTGCCCGGACTCCATCTTCTACCAGCAGATGAGTGGAAGTCTGGCCTCTGCTCTGAGGACGGCCTTTGCAAGAGGGTCACTGGGTTAGTTGTCCATCCTTTTATATCTTCTTCCTATGGTGTCTTCTTTTCTTAAATCTTTTCCTCTGATTTTAGGAGATAATGTTGTTTACTGTATTAGAATTTATATGGCCTGCAAATCCATCTGAATATTTTATTGTCATGTTTGTTGAGAGTGTAAGTATATTACAATCCAGTCAAAATAAAGGCTGCAAATTGTTTTTATTATTCAAGATATATTATTCCGATAATGCTTGGTTAATAGTTCACACAATAATGCTACATATGTTGTAATAATGTTAATATTTGTAATTCATATTATCCTAATTTAACTTGTCAATTGGTCTAATTAAACCCTTGACTACATTTATTATTTACAATATTCAAAAGTGAATATATATATTTTTATTTTAAATGTTAATTTGAACTGTCACAGTATCGTAATATGGTTATCGTGGCCTTCGATATTTTCTTTAAATTCCATCGATCATGATATCAATAGTTTCTTGTTTTAATAATCTAACCGTGTTGCTATATTGAAACACTCCTACCTTGACAAGTCCATCGGCTAAACCTTCCTGTGGGTGAAGTGGGGATAGTGTGCGATCAAAGAGCACTGAACCATTACCTCATATGGTTTAATAGAGCAATGTTGTTGCAAGCAGCTCTTTGGAATCTCTTGCAGTAATACAAACAGTCGAGCTCCCTGTGAAGTGACCCAAAAAAAATAGCTGTGATCTGTATTCATTACATTCACATCTTTCTACACCATTAAGCGCATAATGCTCGTAAGACAAACCGATCTGCCGTTCGGATTTTGTTCTGTGTTCCACCCAGACGGGGCCTCGGTAAAAAAAAAAAAGAAGTGCAGCGAGGGAATCATAATTTATAAATTGAATTTTCCAAACCAAATAAAACTGCTGATGTGACGTCGTCACTCAATCTTTTTTTCATTGTTCTTGTGGTGCTGTAGCTGTGATGTATAATTCACAATAAGTTAGGTGGACGCTCACAGTCTAGCGATGGCAGTTTGTAGTGTTCTCTTGCTTTGCTCACACGGGGGGCCGTGGAGCGGCGAGCGAGGAAGCGGTCTACCCCCCCAGCTTGTCTCTTTCCATCACGAGGTACGGCCGGGACTATTCTGAGATGTCGTTATTGGACCTGACGTTATTCTTGAGCGACTATCAGTGAACCTAATTTTCTTCAAAACCTCACCTTGCCGTAGCTGTTCATCTGCGTTGAAATAAATGTCTGTTTTTTGCCCAGATTTCTTCTCTTTAAGAGACTAATGGAAAACCAAAGCTAAGAAAAGATGTAATATTTAGATCTGTGCAGTCAGGCAGTCCAAACCGTATCATGACCCTCGTGTACTACTGTGATGGTTCATGTCTCTCTGCAGCTCATCCGGTAGCCAGATTATCCGTATTGTCAACAGAGCTGATGAAAAATGAAAGGAATGTGAACCATTAGTTCTGAATGTTACATCATGTCTCTTCACGTGTTGGATGCCTGCATGTACGATGATTTTCTCCCCCCACCCCCCGCCTGTAGGTTCTCTAGCCCCCGGCTCTCATTTCCTCGGGCGCTTCCAGGACCGCATGGTTTGGATAATGATCCTGGAGAGAGGCTATGGCTACTGCACAGTCAACATCAAGGTACCGTGTCCTTCTCTTCTTGCTTTTGAGACTGGCGGCCGTCTTTTACGACGTGACGGTTGTGATCTCTTGCAGGGCCTGGAGCTGCAGGAGACATCTTGCCACACGGTGGAAGCCCGGAGGGTGGACGAGGTGTTCGAGGCTGCTTTTGAGCGTCCGGAGCGACTTGGTTTCACCCAGGGCTTTAACCTGCACTGGGCAAACGCCCTCACCCCCTGTGCGGCACTTGCAGTGCGAGTCTACTCTGATGCCCGAAATGTGCTCTCTGGCATCATCGACTCACATGACAACTTGAGGAAACTTCAGGACGACTTTCTGAAAGCACTGGTCTGGTTGCTCCTCCGACACTGCGTGCAGAAGCATAAGGGATTTCTATGGATTAATGAAGAAGGGCCAGGAGTTGGAGGGAGGAAGTCTCAGTCTTCCCACCTGGCCCAAACCACCTCTAACCAGCCACCTGAGGCTGTCGTGGTGGAATCCAACGTGTCTTCTCTCAGGTTCAGACAGGACAGCTCCAGCCTGACCTCCTTCGGTGATTGGTCGGATGAGGACGACCTATTTGGACCTCAGCCAGCCAGGCGGACGGTGGCATTGGTGACCGCGGAGGCGCAGCTTGGACACGCGTCGCTGCAGGCGGGGGCCTCTCTGCCGGGCTCCGTGGGGATGGACAGCCTTTTTGAAAACATGGCTCTCTCCGCCCTGCAGCCACTGCAGCCTCTGGGTTTGGGCATCGGGATGCCGGCGCTGGATAAAGGCCGGAACCCAGAGATCTTCAGAGAGAGTCCTGGCTCGCTCCCTCAGCTGAACTTCAACTGCCCCCAGTCGGAGGTTTTTAACCTGCCGACAGGGTGGAGGACTGCGCCTCTGCTGACGTCCCGCCTGCTGCAGCTCAGGTCTCTGTTTCCTGACGACTGGTTTCGGTTCTCCATGGGGCAGTTTGGGCCTGCTGTGCAGGACGAGACCTCGGAGGACATGACCAAAGCCCTGAAGGAAGATGAAGCTTTGAAAGAGCTGCACACACAGGTCGCACTTTCATGTCTCATCTCGCTGGGAGCCGAGTCTGCCTTCACCAGCCCCAGTTACGTCTACAGACTCTATTGTGGAGATATACCATGGACGGAAGGACTCGACTGGCTCTCCTCGAGTAAAGAACTTTACCAGCTTGCACTTCGGGCTTTCAGGTAAAATTGCATTTAAGACTTTCTAGGTTTTGGTAACTGATCACAGAATCAGAATGTTTTGTCTGTCAAAAATGTATTTGATTGAATGTGCTTATATGTTCGCCATCAGGTTCAGTTTCAAGTTGCTGTTCGATCAGGCGAGTCTAGGTCCGGTGGAGTCCCCTGAGGAGTTGTTCAGCACCTTGGAGGTCTACGAAAGGGATTGGTACATCGGCCTGGTGACAGAGAAAGGCTGGCACGACAGTGTCCTTCAGGAGAAACCCTTCCTGTTCTCTCTAGGACAAGACCTTGCGATGGTAACCACACGTACCAGCCCATGAAACACATGCTGTCTAAACTGCACAGTCAACACCTGAACCACCACCACCACTACTACTACTACTAGTTCTTATTCATTCATTTAAAATGTTGAGTATTTCAAATGTAGAGCCAATGCCAGTGAAAGGAGCTCATTTAATGGGACTGTCCATGTCCACAGGGTACCTACACAGGGCGAGTCCTGTCCCTGCAGGAGCAGCTGGTGCAGGTGGGTCGTCTGAACGGAGAGGGGGTGCGAGGCCAGTGGGCGAACCTTTCCTGGGAGCTCCTGTATGCTACTAATGACGACGAGGAGCGTTACAGCATCCAGGCTCACCCCTTCATGCTGAGGAACCTAACTGTTCAGGCAGCTGATCCCCCTCTCGGATACCCAATTTACTCCTCAGCCCCCCTCCACTTCCCCTGCCTCTGACATCTTCTGCCCGTTCTCCTGGACGTGCTTTGAAGAGGCTGGATGGATGTTTGTCAGTCGGTACTACTACAGTAAAAAGTCCATTTCCAAAGTAAATTATATTAAAAAATTCATGTGGAAAATATAGTGAAAAGAAAAACATTGACGTGAGTTCAGAAGACTGATGTCCGTTGGAACGTTGTTTTGAAATGAATTACTTTGCAAAATGTCATTCAACAGATTTTGACTATGTGGACTACCTCCTGGAACGGCACATAGAAGAAAAAATCCCTCATCATTTGGTTTCTTTATTAAAGTTTGTGCTTAAGTGAATACATTTGCCCACCTCCCTTCTAGATAATTAAATTTTTATTATAATTTTTAAATTTCACATTTTTTTGGTAATCCCCTTTTATGTCCTCAAAAACTGGACACGTTTTAATGTTTTAAGATGTCAAGGATGTGCCTTGAGTGTGTCTTGCTGTATGTGTAAGTAGTTTAGTGCGATTGTTTTGTTTACAATTCTATTGTTTACAATTTTTGAATGAATTTGTCCATATTCTTCTGTACATATTGATTTTTATATGTTAAAATGTATACTCGTAATAAAATAGCCTGGCAGAAGCGGTTTTGTCACGCTTTACTCAACCAACTTGCCAGTGCATAAAATATATCCAAAAGGTTAGTGCCACTGATTTGTTACATCCAATATACAACTTATATACCATCTTCTAATGAATGTTGGCTTTTATCCAGAAATCCACATAATCGGAAGATGCTTGTTACATGGAACACAACAACAAACCGTAAAATGTAGGATTTACTTCACATCCAGATGAATTAAATATAAGTACCCATTTTTATCAGACTGAAATGCTTCACAGCAGTTTGTGCTTTTAAATGTTTTTCTTTGAGATGAAGGCAAAGACATACAAAAATACATTCCTTTCAAGGTCAAACACCAGGCAGCAATACTCTTCTTGAGGTTGGGACTTTCAGGAGGTCTTAGGCTTCGTGAAATACGCCGTGTCTGCATCCTGCAACAGAAAGTTAGTCTGTTAACACCATTTCCCAGACATTTCCCTTTGCAACTGTGACGTTCCCATAACCCCAGTGTTTAGGAAAAGATTTTTGTCTGACAACTGTACGGCACAGAATTTGCTGGCACTACAATTTCAGTCAGTCAGAACCACGGGCGAGTATTCCTTCTCACTGTCGTACCCTGACCACCGTCGTCTTATTAGACTCAAGCAAGGTCAGTAACAGCTGAGGCCCCCCCCAGCTGTCAAGACACAGCTTTGCACGATTCAGCTTTGCTTGAGTATTTGAAGTCATTTGACATGGAGCAAGGTTGTCCACACGGAGAACCAGTACAAAGCCAAACATCCAGCAACAACAGACTGGTCCCAGCCCCTGTGAGCACGTTCTGACTAAAAGGTACATTCATCTTCAAATACGGTGAATTGGTGTTTACACGTCGTGTAGGGAGCTTCCCAGGTAAACCCAAACAGATGCGTCCTCATTTTGAATCAATAAATCTCAACCTAGTCTATATCGGCCTGTGGCTGATTGGCCAATAATTACGATTAGTGACCCCAAAAATTCCCAGCATGGCTCCGATCAACTATAAAATAAAATCATCTTTCTACAGAGTCAGATGAAAAAACGTAACCATGTGTTACAGAAGTCTGTTTGTGCACGCATTGTAAAAACGTCGATATTGGTTAACATTTTATAAATAATGTTATACTTGGTTTTTAGCACCTGCCACTTGGGACTACAGAAAAATATAGCCTCTTGGCTAACTGGTACATTTACAGCAATGTTTTGGGTCACTGCTCCTTATCAAATAAACCAATAAATAGTACATCTAATAAATCGCAGACAATGCAATACTGCATTGACTTTGTACACGTACTTACCAGACCAGCTTTGAAATTTTGCACCCTTTTTCTTCCCAACATGTTTGTGATGAACCAGGCGAATGTAGGAGCATACTGCCAGGCGTAGTAGAACAGGAGGAAGGGCTGCTGTGCGATCCACATTTCCTTGACGCCATTGGCAATTCCCACCAACATTAAACGTGCGCACCGACTGGTTGGCATCTTGTGGCCCTGGTTACCAGCAGCGGCTACAGGCTTCGGTAATGGGAAGGAAAAAAACATCACTGAAAACCTACCACTTAAAAAGCTACTGTAATATTACATGAATAAAATGAACGCATGCTATTTTCAAAATCTACAGCTGCATAACAAACCTTGTGCACTTCTTCCGTGAAAGCGTTTTGGACAATCTGCGACTGCACAGGGCCTGGACACACCGTGCTGATGAGTATGTTTGGGAAGTCAGTCAGCTCTGTCCTGAGAGAATTAAAGAAACCCTACGGACAAAACGGGAACAATCAGCAACCGGGCTGAACGGCAAATCACACACAGAGGTTTTATGGAGAAATTAAACCAGAAAAAAACAAACACAAGTCATGTGACTATCGTAGCCGCGGCCCGTTCACCTGAAGAGCGTGCTTGCTGGCGGAGTATCCCGTCGCCAGCGGGGCCCCGGCGAGGCCAACCACACTGCTGACGGTCACGATGCTTCCTGTGCCTCGCTGCGTCATGTGAGGCAGCACCTGCTTTGTGATGGAGACCGTACCCAGGAAGTTGAGCTCCATCAAGGCCTGATACACGTCAATGCTGGTCTCCAGGCACAGGGAGCGCTGGCTTCGGCCCCCATTGTTAATTAGGACATCAATCTGGAGGGAAGAATCAGACAAAACCAGAGAATAGTAAAAAAAAACAAAAAAAAAAACAACACACAGCATGATTTGAATTTGTATCCATTTTAACTTATGATGTTGAGTTCTACACAGTATAATAACAAGTGAACAGTAAGTTAAACTAATAATGAAAGCTCATTGTATTTTAAGAGGAATAGTAGTGGCCCTACACGTCCAAAGTATTGAATTGCAGCTTTGGCTTTTCCCTCATGCGACGTCCTCTCCAACAAATCCAGTGGAAGCACACGAATATCTTCATCCTGAAGGTCGGAGCGCTCTTGAGAAAAAATAAATAAAAATACAGACATTTAGTGAGTCACAACTGAGTAAGACTAAATGAGAGTTCCACGGCAAAGTATTCAATTCATGTATTTTAAATAGGCCTTTTCCGCTCTGCCATTCAATTATATACATAGAGTTGTTTTTTTTTTATTATCTCACCTAAACAGCAACGTTTCACCCTCTCCAGCTCGTCCTCCCGTCGAGCAGACAGTATGAGACGTGATCCATACCCGGCTAGCTGGAGGGCCAGCTCCTCTCCAATACCACTTGAGGCTCCAGTGACCCAAACCACCAGCCCCTTCAGTTTGTTCTCTAGTTAGAGAAGAGAAATACGACAATGCATGTCATGTGTGGGGTCTGAGACTACTCCATGTCAATATCATACTGGCATTTGCCTTTTTTTCATTTTTGGTTCCGGTCTCCCACATGAACAAAATAAGTAAAATATTAAATTTAATAAATTAATTAAATCGATTTTGATCTCAGTCCCACAAGTTTCAGTTTATTAGTTATTGTATTATGCCTAGTTAAATGAAAAGTATATGATTTAAAGCACATGATTTAGTTGTTATTTGGTGTGATTCTTTACGGAGAAAATAATTAGTTGGTTAGCCTAAATAATAGTGTGGTTCAAATACGATTTAACCACAGTTATGGAGCTCAATACTAAAACCAAAATGTATGTAGAGGTTTTTGCATCGTGGGTGTAACCATGACAATGCTGGACATTGGCATTTACTTTGATTCAAAACAATTTGAATACTTTTGAATTACCTACGGATACCGAGTCAAAAATATAGATACTTCTCCCACTTCTGATCCTTCATATTCAAACGTGGGTAAATCATTCCCAGATATAAACACGTTGGCCTGTGAAGCGCAGTCTGACCTTTACAGCTCAAACGAGCGTCAAGTGAGTCACACGCGTCGATCAAACCGGCGGACTCTTTGTTTTTTTTTAAACCGTTTACTTCCTGCTCAGAAACCTCGTTGACCCTCAGGTTTATCGGGTAACAGAAACATTGAAACTGTTGACTCGATAAGAGCAAGCAAGTGAGGTTGAATCAGCTCACCTGGCCTGTGTCCAAACAGACCTGCCCACAGCAGGGTGAAGTCTGCATCCGCGAAAATAAAACAGAGGAAGTTAATAAGTAAATAAAGTGGTATAAAAAACAACAGCGCGGATGCAACGCAGCATTCCATTTCTTGTCAAATGAATTAATCACGTTAGGGTTGGGGTTTAACTTAAGTGGCCATACTATCTAAATCAAGCTCCTGCCACAACAAAACTGCAACAAACGGATAACGACGTCACATCCGCTTGAATATTTTATTTCAGAATAAAAGATGTTGGCTCGTTAATATTGGGTCGAAAACAAATCGTGTGAAAGAAGCCCCATATCATTTCCTCTAATTATTCTTGCCCTCTTCGAGTTGCAGAAGCCACCTGTTATCCCTTTATTTATGGTAAATGGCAGCTTTTTGTAGGAATAAACTTCAACCACAACAGTTACACAGTGTTGCCCAGGAACCAAAAGCCAAAAGCAACTTATACAACACACAACTTTTGGAATTAGAGATTCTCACAAATTATAACTACTAAGCCAAATATGTACCCAAAAGAGAGATTCAACATCTAAAATGTATGACATACCCTCAATGGTTGGTTTAAATAGTGTGTTTATGGACATTTACATAAATTTGGCAGCTCCAAAAAATAGTACTGCATTTAGGTAGTTTGTCGATTTTGGCGCCTAAACAATACCATACCAAGGAGACCCTCTTTTTCCACATTACAAAACACATTGCACTGCTAAATGATGCCAAATATTATATTTACGTGACAAATATACGTTTTGATTAATAGTCTTTCAAATGCACCCCGTGTATACATTTAAGCGTGATATCCGATTCGGGAGTCTATTTTGCATTAGCTACATGCCTTATGCGTTACAGTTTGAGCTGCCTTTAGGGATGATGTCATTTTTTTATGTACGCAACCTGCAACATCCGGGTCCTTTCTCATTCAAACTGTGCCATAAAAGCATTGACATACACGGTCATCGATTGCGCCCCATCCTTTGGAAGTTGATCGTTGTGAGTAAGACCAAGGATGTATTATAAAACAATCCTTCGGCTGATCGAGAGGCTCGAGCTGGATGACTTCCTGTTGATCACACGCACACACAAATGGGATTAAATAATTGAATCAAGCAGTTTTACCAGAAATGTCGTTGGACTGAATGGATCGGGTTATAACTGTGAACTTTTAGTTTTGGCATGTGTCAGAAAAAATGTATTCGCCATTTTACTGGTGGTCCTTTTCCAGCGATTGTGTATGGGAAAAATGGCCAGCGCGTGTCACGTGACGATCCAGGAAGCTGCAATTACCCGGAGCAACCACTAGGCCACAATCGCATCAGAGCGCGGCGCTGTTCTGGTGGCTCGCTCTATGCGCCTCACAAGCTAACGTTAGCTAGCAAGCTGTCAAGCTGTCTAGTGGAGAGGCTGGGACGGACGTTTCAGCTTCCCCCTGGCTTGGCCACACAAATCTCCGGCTCATAAATTCCCTGGAAAATATTTGAAAATATATTTACGATCGCCAGCTGAGATGATGTAATGCATCACGGGCGCACGCAAAGAGGGACCTCCGCACTTACACAATTTCTATGAGTCTTGTGCGACGACTGCTCACTGCTAGCTAACTGGCTAGCTAGCCTAGCTAAGCCGTCACAAACCCCCTAGTTTCGTCGGTGTACCCTCTCCGGTGTGAACTGAGGCTATTCGTTCCTTGTCACCTCCGCAGACTCTGTTGCTGTCAACTGGTATTTCGGATATTTGGTAAGTCGTCAAATGTTTACTCTCAAGCCAGCAAATGTTAGAAGATCACAGGGTAGTTAAGCTAGCCTAGCCACATTAGCATGTAATGCTAGCGATAATACGTTAGCAAGGCCGAGGGCTTTCCTTGCCTTTTAGACAATGTTAGCAAACCATGGTAGAGGGAGGCCTGTCAAAGTTAGCTGTCGGGGACAAGGGTCAAGGCCCACAGCTCGTCTATGTTGTTTGTTTATCGGTGTTGTGGTCCGTATATGTTACGGACCGAAATGTAACATTGTTCTTTGATTTAACTTGATAGCAAAGGCTTTCTTGATGATCAGGTCAATGCTGTAAACAGGCGTATCACAACGTTGGCCTTAATGTCAGATCCCCACAGGTTTTGCGGTGGTAATCGAGTAACTTATCAGTCGGTTAGCTGGTGTTCGCTCTGCAGGCATGTGACGATAGCTTTGACTAATATTACTCTAAGTATTGTGGTGTTGGGCAGATACATGGTGCCCACGTTATTCAAAGTGCAGTTAAATTAAACAAGTGGCATCGTATGGCGCAAACTGACGTTGCATTCGGTGTTGCACTAGATCATGGAAGGGGTTGAAGGGCGTTTCAGTCTGATCCAAACCAGAAGGGTCCCAAAAGGTGGCCAAAATGTTTACACGGCCCTACTATTTTTAGATAAGGGCAGAGATCTTAAACCCAGCTCCAATATGCTAATCTCTTGCTACTTGTAAATATAATGTGCTGTCTTTTCTAAATTCTATTTATAACACAATATTGTGTCCTTCCGTCCAGCAATAGGTATCCAGTGTGTATATTTAAGTGTGTATTTTAATCTACTATAAAAAAAAATTAAAAAAACATACTGATCAAGTAAAACAATTTGATTGATCAGAAACACAGTTTTGCCACAAAGCCCGTGCTTAACAATGGCTGCATTAGTAAACACTACATTTCTGTCATATCATGTAAACGTATGCTTTTCTCTTTTTGTGTTACAGGTGTTAAGAGTGGCACAATGGGTGCATTTCTGGACAAACCAAAGATGGAAAAATACAATTCCCGCGGTGAGGGCAACGACCTGAGGTATGGGCTGAGCAGCATGCAGGGTTGGCGAGTGGAGATGGAAGATGCGCACACAGCCGTTATCGGGCTGGCCCACGGTCTCGATCCCTGGTCGTTCTTCGCTGTTTATGACGGGCATGCTGGCTCTCAGGTGGCCAAGTACTGCTGTGAGCACCTGCTGGAGCACATCACCACCAACTCAGACTTCCAGAGTGCTTTGCAGGAGGACCCCTCCGTAGATAGCGTGAAGAATGGGATCCGCACGGGGTTCCTGCAGATTGACGAACACATGCGAACCATCTCCGAGAAAAAGCATGGTGTGGACCGCAGTGGTTCCACGGCAGTGGGAGTGATGATCGCTCCCAGCCACATCTACTTTATCAATTGCGGCGACTCAAGGGGCCTCCTCAGCCGGGGCGGAGCTGTGCACTTCTTCACGCAAGATCACAAACCCAGCAACCCCCTGGAGAAGGAAAGGATCCAGAACGCAGGCGGCTCAGTCATGATCCAGCGAGTTAACGGTTCTTTAGCGGTGTCCCGGGCTTTGGGAGACTTCGACTACAAGTGTGTGCATGGAAAAGGTCCGACAGAGCAGCTTGTGTCCCCGGAACCCGAAGTGTATGCAATAGAGAGATGCGAGGGCGAAGATGAATTCATTATACTAGCCTGTGATGGCATCTGGGATGTCATGGCCAATGAGGAACTGTGTGACTTTGTCAGGTCAAGACTAGAGGTGACCGATGATCTTGAAAGAGTCAGCAATGAGATTGTTGACACCTGCTTGTACAAGGTATGACATTTCCAAAAAACGTACACATACATTTTGTTAGACTTGTTTGTTATGGGGACAATAACCTGTTTGTTCTTTGTTTTATTCACAGGGGAGCCGAGACAATATGAGTGTTGTTTTAATCTGCTTTCCTGGGGCACCAAAGGTCTCTCCAGAAGCAGTGAAACGGGAGGCTGAGCTGGACAAATATCTGGAGGGCAGAGTAGAAGGTAAGAGAGAAAAACATCGTCAACTATGGTAGAACCTGGGATAGTGACATCAAAATTCCTCTCACTTGTATTTCCTTATTCAACGTAGACTCCACGTTTTCTTTTTTTTAACATTATGTTTTAAAATAATGTTAGCCTAGTTTATAAATCGTATCCGTGACAGCAGTGTCTAGAGCTAGAGAATCATCCAAGCGCTTGTCCTAAAGCTCAGCGAGCATCTGCTGTGGTCAGAAAGAACAACGTTTAAAAATTGGCTAGTTCACGACTTTGGCTCATTTCTTTAATTGAAATGTATTATTTCTTTTTTTGATCTGTTAATCCATGCAGTGGCGATGGTTTAAAATATAAAACAATGACACCAATGAAATGGTAAGGTTACTGTGTTTCTGAAAACAATGACTATTTTCAAATTGGTGTCAGTTTTGTCTGGGAATTACAAGTGTGGTTAATATTGAGAACCAGGAAAAAATGATTCGTGGTTAATCATTTTTTTTTCCCTTAACAGTAGTTGGCCATAGTTTTTAATATTGTTCCTTTTTAAATCTTACATTAAGAAACCTGTTTTCTATCACAAGATCAGGGAGCCTCTATAGATCCTAAAATCAGATGAGGGAGACAAACCGCCCCTCCGCCCCCCCTTAAAAAAAACTTTTATTGGGTGAAAAAAACTTCAAGAAGAGCAAGTGAGCAGATGTCACCGTTCCAGAGCAGACATTACATTTTGCATGGAATGCATAAGACTTTTATCCAGACAAAGTATGTCCAAGTACATTAATACTTCCCAATATTAATGTTATTGTGAACACTTTTTTGTGATCAAAATATCATTTTGTTTTCCAACAGAGATTCTTAAAAAGCAGGGGGATGAAGGTCCCCCGGATTTGGTCCATGTTATGCGGACGTTAGCATCTGAGAGCATCCCTAACCTCCCCCCCGGGGGAGAGCTGGCGAGCAAGTGAGTGAAATAATAATTAAAAAGTATATATTGCCATTGTCATTCATTCTAACCAATTTAATCATTTTAATGAAAAACAGAGGCTATTTATTTCTACATTATTTTATTCTAATAGAATTCTTTTCTTCCCCTTAGACGAAGTGTTATTGAAGCAGTCTATAACAAGCTCAATCCCTACCGAAGCGATGACACAGTAAGTATGCCAACTTGTGTTTGAACCCTCCACAGGTGTGCTTGGAATGATACATGCATGGTTTTTCTAAGTGTCATTTGACCGACACTAGCAGAAAAGTTTGAGATTGGTTCCTTTAAATAGTCTCAGTAACCTTACTTGGTATAATTTTGACAAACGACCACGATTGGTTTGCTATTTTAAAAAGGTTCAGGTTCATTCAACATGAGCCAATTTCCATAAGTGCTCTTTAAATCAAAGAGGGGGGAGCTAATAAGGGAAATTGTCTGGTATTTCTATGGCTGGAATAAAAAACCTGCATCTCTCACATACTGGTTCGACAGAAATGAGCAATGCTCATCATTCCTTTATATACAAACGGACCACGAAGCTGTTGCCCTCGTTCACATAATATGCTTTTTACGTTTTCATCAGAAAAACTCAGTGTGTCAGCTGCATTTGAATTATGCATGACACCTTGTCCTTGACGGTGAAAATCAGCACTTTGTTTCAGTGTGTCATGTTTGAATAAGAAGGACGTTTAAAATTACTTTCAGGAAATAATGTTTCCTTCAGCATCTCCTGTATTATGTGGTGCAGCCTGAATACGTGATGGACTTAACAGACACAAAGCCTTCAATGGAGAACGTAAAATTAGCTAAAGGAAATATTTGCAAACTTATTAAAAGTGACTCATAGAAATCATATAAAGGATTTGTTGCTGTATTCAACCTTTTTAGTATGTAGTCATCTCAACCACTTTAGCTGCATTTGCTATTTCAGTTTTGCTTGGACACATATTTATCATCTTTGAACATCTTGATATTCTTCACATGCAGCCAGATTTGCTGCAAAGTTTGGAATTGGAGGCTGTGAATAGTTTTAAATCTTAATATATTCTCCCACATTATTTTAACACAGAGAAATCTATGAAATCAGTAAGATCAAAAATGCTATAAAAATCCCAATTTATTAATCTGTGTTTAGTGAAATTTTCTCCAAAACAAACCAATTTTCTTCAATCTTTGACAGTTTGGTCTCACCCTTGTTGTGGGGTTACGGTGGTTTTGCTCCTTTAGTGCACTGTGATGGTGTTTTTTAAAGCACAAACATCACCTCACATTTTGAACCCAAATTCCCCTTCAGAATGTGTTTTGCCTCATTTATTGCGCTACAAGAATAAAACACTCTCAAACTGATCTATACTCGGTTCGTAGCGGACGTTTAGATTTGTGTAATCTTTCTAAAGTTTGCTTTGCATTGCTACATTTATAAAGGTGTATAGTAAGTCTATGAAAAAAAAAAAGAAAATACTCTACATTCCCCATTCAGGTGGGTTTGTTTGGCAGAATGGCACAAGGCACAACCTTTGTTGCCATGTTTGTCAACTATTGCTCGAATACGATTACAACCGTGTTTGCCTCGCGTTTCAACCTTAATTGGAGGTGAAGGCATTCTGAATTAGTTAAACTTTCAAACTTGTCGTACTGGAACGTTGTGGGAAATCACTCCCGGCTTTGACTTCCTATTTCTAAAGGCAATAAACCTTGCAGCTTGATAGTTGGCAAAGACGGTGACCTCACACTCATAAAAGCACCCTGTCTGCATCCCGGGGAGAGATGAAGACATGCAGCTCCCAACGTGTCACAACTGTAAGCTGTAGAGGATCAACTTACTTACCGATATTGTATTATGGCAGTGACCGGCTCTGCTAACGTTAGAGAAGGTCGCGTTCACTTGCACGGTACATTCAAGCTCTACTCGGTCAAAACTGGGCGAAGGCAAGTTACATTGATCCTGCAACGAGTGCTGTAATAACATGGAAGCTACAGCAATTATGAACACAATGGCCGTTATTGTTAGCACGCTTTAACGCCTGGCATTCAATTACTGAATCAATCAATTTTCATATTTAGTGTGCTAACCAAAAGAATTATTGATGCGAATTCTATGCCTGAACTTTGAGCGAAACGCCATTAGGTTTGTGTTAAATAAGAAGTCTGAACAATTTGATTCACTATAACTTATAACTAATATATATATTTCCACACCGACTCAATGCAACCCGCCTGTGCAATGAACGTATTTTTACTTACTTATATACTTACAGCATAATTACTTTTGCTGCTCACTCTTCATCACTGGCATCAATGGCCACGGAGAATAGACCCTAACAAAGAGCTGCAGATTCTGTGACATTTTCCTATAAATCCGTCACAATACAAGTCCTGGTTATTTTGTGGTTTAAAACCTTTGAAAATGTTGACTACAAACTCATCATTCACTGCAGTTTTATGTCTTGTGCATTTCAGTATTTTTGGCTGCTTGGTTTTGGTTTATTTCTCTATTGCAGTTTTAATACGCTGAACAGGTTCATTAAAAAAAAGTACATTAGATGAAGTAACCATCTTTTACTTCGTCTCCAGATTATTGTTCAAGTGTACAAGTATTTACCATTTCACCAAAGATGTTAGGGGAAATAATGGTGTAGATTTCCCAAAATCTCGGCCAAATCCTGGATGATTTTTATTTCCCGCTTGTGTCCTACATGCTTAAACCTGTCACGCTCTCTCGATGGAGATGTCGTCGATGTAGTCTGAAGGGTTTTTCCTTCCTCTCCTCTCTTGTCAAGGACTCTGCGTCCACAGACGACATGTGGTAACACACCCTCCTCCACTAACACAGCATTCAGTTTACAACCCACCATCCTCTCAAGACCCATAGCAGCTCCGCTCAGCAGTCTGTCTCTACGTCACTCTGAGCTTTTGGTTTCTAAGAAGGGAATTTCATGGGAGGAGGAGAACGAGGAGATGAAGAAGATGAGGAGGAGGAGGAAGAATAAGAAGAAGAGTTTGCATGCACACAAACCTGGAATAGTGCAGCACCAGTCCACTCTGGAGTTCAGGATCCCCACCCTCTTGTCTCCCCCTTTTATGTTCACCCATCTTTATACTCTCTTCTAAAAGTAATCCATAACAAATGAGTCCCGCGGTTTCCTTTTTTTTTTGTTAAATAATCAGCTTAAGTAGTAATATTTTTTTTTTTTTGGTTGCTGTAATTAATTTGATTCACATTTCCTTGTGTGTTTGTATATTTCTGTTTTTGTGAAGTGCAATTGTCCTGTACAAACAGCCTGTATTTAATGCAGCTTGATTTTAAGTTAAAAAATGAAAGAAATGAAAAAGAGAATCTTTTATGCACTATCTGCCTTTTCCTGCTCTTCTGGAATTGTAACAAAAGTCTATTCAGTGAATATTACTGCTTGTCCTCCAGGCACAATGTCTCTGCGCTTTTACTTTCCTTTTTTTTGTCTTTTTAGTCTATGCTCTTTTTTTTTTAAAAACGGGTAAATTGTATAGTTGACAGCACAGTAAGCTCTATATCAAACCATTTGAATCCTAATTATTTTTTCCCTGTGCTTTTTTTTTATTGTATTGTGGTTTTCTCTACATGCTCAAATAATAATTGCAAAGTGTCTCTCAGGCATTTTGGAATTTTTAAGTGACAAATAAACTTTCAATTTTTGTTCATTCCTTAAAATCCTTTTTTTTGTTTTTTTTAAAGCCCCCCTGTTAACGCGTCCATCTGTGCAAATAGATACTTTGCAGATAATTGGTGCTTGTGTCTCTGTATGTGCACGCGTGTGTCCGTGTAAAGGCAGATCTGTATGTGCAACTCTAATTAGAATTTGCTACAGTGGTGCAGACTACAGAGCCTCAGTCTAAGGGACTCGCTCTCCCCCTGCTTACCCGTTTGCCTGCCCCTTTTTTTCAGCCGGTGTTCATATCAACCCAAAAATAAGCTTTCACTACTTCTTATTCCAAAAAGCTTTGGACAACAGAGTTTACATGCGGTTATGCTGTGTGAACATTTTCAAGCTATTTATCAGAACTATACAGCAACCTGGGATGACACAAGTAGTTCAATTTACCCATGTTGTACAAGACTAGTTTACGCATCGATTGTGTCATTTTTAGCTATTGGTTTTCGAAGCATATATTACCAGTGCCCACTGTGGGTGCCATATGATTTATATTCACTTGTTTCAGCTTTATGACAGCCTATGCCAAGTTTCTTCTTAATGAGAATCTTTTTTTTTTTTTGTGGTACAGATAGATTTTTAGCTTCTAACATCTAGTAATCTAACTGATGTGAACAGTTGAATCACTGACTATTTTAAAGAAAAGCACCTATTACCAGTCTGATCATAGGAAAAAAAAACATACAAGATATTGACTCTAAAACGTTATACGGCTGTTTGTATTCTTCACGTGGTCTTCAGTTGGACATTCAAGCCAAGAACAAATCTGCCAACTGCAATGAGTTCTCATGGTTGTATAGCACCTTTTTATCCCATCAGGTTTCCCTGCCCCTCCTCAGCACCACAAGCCACAGCACAATACACTTTGCTGCTATGGTGTTTGACCTGTGTTTTTTTTTTTGTTTTCAGTGGATTTCCCTCCTTGAAACGATGAATAGTTTAATTAACACACAGTAGATATATTTCTTGAAGATGAACGGTTTTATTTCTGATTTATTTTCTGCTGGGATTTTTTGTCTGAAATTGCATTGTTGGAAATTCGTGTATGTATATATTTTTGACCTAAACTTTCAAGGAATAAATCGTGTCGCTTGAGTTAGTTCTTTTGCCATGGACAAAATGGGATGTTGCTTTGTCTTGGGATGGTTAGTTGTTTTTTTTTCTTTTGCAAACAAAGCGTTAAACCCCTTAATCACTTCAGTTTCCCTCTAATCAACACTTTGGTTTGCACTGTTTCTTTAACTCAATACACAATAATCATTTACAACATTTGTAAATCTTCATTTATCGTAATGACAATCCTAACTATTTCACCGCATTTAGGTTTCTGGTGGTTGCAAATAATTGTAATCTTTACAAAACGCACACGATCTTAAATTGTTAGATTTCTATTCTATTTCGGTGAAAAATAAGTGGGATGAATGTATGACAGGAAGCAACAATTAGAAAAAGAGTAGCGTTAAAATGTTTGTTAGGCCTTAGAGACACATTGCATTCTGGGAAGAGGTGTTGAATGTAAACCTAACTGTTGGTAGAGGAAACTCCATGTGGGACCTTTTCGTACAAACCCGACAAATGGCGTGAATAGCAACGTAGTCCTAATTTAAAATGTGTAACATAAAAAGCGTGTTTGCATAAAAATGGGCTTTTACTGAATTTCCTGTTGATAAAAGAGCAAAAAATGTAAATGCAACCAAAAGCAAAGTAAACAAGTTGTTTTAATTCACTTCTCTTGGTGTGACAGTATTGTGTTTCTCTCACCAGCACATACTGTTTTCACAACACGTAAAATTGAAATCTTCACGGTTGTTTATTCACTACGAAGAAAAAATGTAATGTGTATGAAAATGCTTTTTTGATGAGCAGTTTTGCTTGTATATGTTTAGTGCACTAAATGTCTCACTAATCAAAAATGTTCAGCACCCAGCCGCTGTTTGCAAACCTGATGCGTGTTGATTAATCCTCAAGCATCATTTCAGTCATTTTTTCTATGCCCCTTATTAAGGAACAAACAATCCTTCTTTGTCTTATCTGATGTGGCCCTTAAATTATGCTGGTTAATGACCCGTTTTCAGAATAAGCCACAGAATGAAGAAAATATAAAAAATTGCTGTAGCTGCAATGTCATTAGTTTCAGGTATTGACGGTGGCTTTCCTGTTATTAGTCACATCTGGACCTTTTGTTGAAATGATGTAAAATATCCATCGTATCCCTGTTATTCCCACAAACACGTGACAAAAACTGAACAAAAAAAAAAACATCCCGCGTGTCTCTTGAGTTTATTCTGTTTTAATTTGTCATTAACTAAAATACCTCCTGACTTTTATAGGAATAGCTTTTGTCTTGTGTTGTGTAGATCCAAACTGTTCACCTTTTGGAGACTAATGAAAGCGTTTTTTTTATTTTTTATTGTGGTCGTCCCCCAGAACCTGTGACTTCCAACAACCCTGTGCTCGAGTACGGTGTTTGACTGAACTGTGCGGACGTTAACAAAACGAGTAATGATTTTAGTATTAGCGGCGACTACAAACCACAACATATTTTAGCCTTGTCCTAGATGCTAACCCCCAAATGCTCACCTGTGTGATTTCCCCCAATTTGTCTACCTGTGTGACGCTCAAACGTAGAATTGTATGGAGAGTTCAGGGTTTATTAATAAAAGTGTTTGTGTGTGTGTGAGAGAAGTGACTAAATGACAAAAGTCATATGCACTGATCATCTGTATAATCTGCTTCGTATCACAAAACTGTTATTGTAGAGAGGAAAAAAAAGATTATAAAGCTATTTACAGAGTTACCTCTGGTTGCCTGGATGGCCTCGTGTGTATTCCTACACGGAGGACTGCCTGGCCGACGTTCACAAGAGATTTTAAATGCTCGCGCCCTCTTGTACATATTGATGTACCCTCAGTTGTGGCGTTTTACTGTGTGACCCCCCCGATCAGTTGTGGTTTATTTGCCCCCCCTCCCCTCCCTCGCCCCCTTCGCAGGGTGACCTGAGCCTCACTTTGCTGACCTTTTTCAGCTCATAAATAAGCTCACCGATTTGCCTTACCCTTCGTCTCATGTCGCCGCCCCTAAAGTAACACTACGAGGAGGAGTAACGCCGCCGACGTTACACTCCAATAGATTAAAAAAAACTATCCCCATCTCGGGGTGCTATCGACACAGTGACTTTGTCATGCTTGTCACATGGTACAACTTTTCAACCATCGCTGGTGTGTGTGTGTGTCCCCCATGTTACCTTATCGAATCTCCGTCTTTAAAGCTTATTTCATTTTTTCACTGCAGATGATGTCATACTTTTTAACTAATGCAAGTGTTTTAACATGGTAACCTCGTAAGTATTCAAAATGTGCATACATACGTTCATGTCTGCTCTATTTATGATTACATTCAACAATAGCTTTAGAGTGCTGTAGATAAGTATCGTCAATGTCGATTCAAATGCTTCTCAAAGGCCTCTGTGAGTGATTTTACAAAGTTCAATAACTGTATATTTTGTACTATGTTCTAGCTCCAAAGGAATGGCGGAAAAAAAACAGAAAATGTCTAAAAAAGCTTTGTTCCCTGAACTAAACTGTACTATTTGTGTTGTCGATTGAACAAATTGCATTCCTTGCTTGTGAATTGATGCTTTTCTCTCCCTGCTCCTTACATTTTCTCCCCCGTCTTTCCCTCCTTTCTTTCATTTTTTTAGCCTTTGAAGTTTGAATAAAATTTCTAGTTTGCAGAATGTATTACTAAATAAATGGGTTGTCATCTTGTACCTCTAATTTTGTCGCTTATCGGTTCGTGCCTCTTGCATTACTGAAACTTTCTTCAATGGTAAAAGAAAAAAAGAAATTGCATCGTTGTTGGACAAAGAACTTGCTTTTTCCATCGTGCAGCTCCAACATGCCGTGCAGGAAGCGAGTGTCGATCCAGTGTGCTTCCTCCTCACACTGCTTTGCTTTGAATGTTAGAAACATACATTAAAATAAAGTTGTTTTTTTTTCTTTTCTTACGGTATCCGGAGAATCTTTGAAAACGCTTCTAACATCTGGACGAATGTTTCTGTCCACTTCACAATGACGAACTGCTGATCGTTTCTGTGGTTGCCAAAAGTGTTCGTACAACCAAAATGTTTCACCTCTCGCATCGGTATGTTTTGAATATTCTCTATTTTTGAAGAAGCGTTCTTCACCGCTCAGTGGACAGAACGTTTTCTCACACGGGTGTTCAGAGTCCTTAAGTGTCAGCGTTAAGTGTCCTTTTCAAACCACCTCAGCTTGTGTGGTGGTCATCGACGAGCCCCGTCCCTCGCCGCGTGTCTCTGAGCCCCCGACGGCCCTTTCTGAAGCCCGGTGGTGGCGGTGACCCGTCTGAGTATCTGTCAGTGCGCGTCGGAGGAGGGGTCAGCGCCGTCTGCGGCCACTGGGATTAAGAACCGTTGGAGGGATTATTTTAAATGTCAACATAATGTCATGAGCTGTGTTAGAAGGTCAAGCGTTCAAGCGGTGCTCAGTGGCGAGCAGTTAATAGATCAGGTACAATTTGGATTGTTGTGGCTCCTGTGATGAATTGAGTGGCATGCGGAAACAAGCTATTTGTTTCAACGTTTTTTGTTTTTTGTTTTTTTTAAAGCTACTGATGTCAGATGTACGATGCAGGTTGCAGTTTGTTTCACAACCCCAGAAGTTCTCAGTATTGCCGTTACTATATTCAAACACTACATTAAAAAAAACATTTTTCCCCTCAATGGGTGGGCGTCTTCCCTCAGATGTGAAACAAAATGTCTACCACGCTATTGCTCTCTCTCTCTCCACTCAATGTGTGACCGATGGATAACCGAATGCTCATCAGGCATCCAGCGGGCCAGAGGGGGGCAGTGTAAATGGCTGTGACTGCTCAGAGACACCAGCCGCAGCGACGGATAGCCCTCGGGGGGGGGGTTAGTTGATAGAGCGGTCGGTGTCAGTCATACGAAGACGTCGATGAGGAGTCTCTGCTTGGTGAAATAGCGCTGTTGAGAGTGAAGGTAGTGAGTCGTGACATTGAGGGTCGCAATGATACACGCCTCTCGCGTTGAACGTTGGGGAACATCCGGCCACTGAGAAAAATCACCACTACATTCAGACTCTTTTTTTTTGTAAACACATCCATCTCAAAGCCATTTTCCTGTTGGAACACTGCACACAATGTGACTCATTAGATCCTGGGCCACCTGTGCTCTCCTAATGAATCATGTTGCCCTAAAAAAAAAGAGAGAAAAAGGCGGCCGCGTCGGCTGAGGCCATCATCAAATGGAGCTGGCTCGTCATCTGCCTGCCATTGTTTGGAGCATGTCATGCTCTGCTTCTCATGGCGGAAGAACCCATTTGAGCTCGACTAATGCAGCCGTGCAGACGCGGCAGTGAGAGGTGGGGGTGGTGGGGCACGCCGCATACTCTGTGTGGATGGCCTCTGCACTGAGGTCACTGAGCTCCACATTTGCTAATTTGCTCCCGAGTGCACAGTAAGACCCCTATTTCTTTTGTCAGGGTTTCTCTGTAAACAGTGGGGACATTTTTTCTTTTTTTTTTTCCGAGCACGGGTGTTTTATAGACAAGACGTTGCTCGAGAAGAAGCAAGTCCACGCTCTCTGTGGCTTCTTCCGTCTCCCCCCCCCCCCCACCCACCCACCCGCCGTGCTCTCCTCCTCCTCTTCCTCTGAGTGTTCTTGTAGCCCGGGGTCAGTTTGTCACAGAGAACACAAGCTTTTCTCACTCGGTCGCAGCGATTCAATGACTGCTGTGTACAAACAAGCATATCAAGCGGGGGATGACAGGGACCCACCTCCCCCTCCCTCCCATCCTTCTCTCCTGCAGACGTCCAATATGTCCTTCCTGCACTCTCGCTCTCTCTCTCGCTTGCACTCGGTCCCCCTCGCATGAGGTGTGTTACACAAGCTGCTGCCCTGGGAATCCCGGGCCAGCTCATTATCCTGCACCCCTGAGACAAAGCTCACTGTAAATTAGGACATGAAACCATGCGGGCTTGTTAGGGAGCCACAGACGCACTCATTAGCATCAGCACCTTTCCTTGTTAGAGCCTCGGCATTCGCCCCCCCCACACCACCACTCTGCGTCCCGTCATTCCACCGCACCGACGGGAAGGTTTAGGATTAATGTCGGCTCTGGCCAGCAGGTCAGCTCTGCGGCGGGTTCTGATTGATCCGTGGTGGCCGGAAGTTGTGGAATTCGTTGACAACTGCCAAGGACGGGGGGGGAAAAAAAGGCTCCTGTCTGACAATAACTTGTCCAGCAAGTGAGTAGCTGTCTGCTGGGGATGGACAAAATAAATAAAACAGGCTGTTTTTCAGTGAACACATTTTTCAGATTTTCTGTTCAATAAAAAGTTCTTTACAATGTCTTGGAAACAATGCATGAGAATTTCAGACAGAATTTTTTTAAGGAGAAGGAGGAGAAATGTACGGCTGAACTGAATTAGGAAAAAACTAGCCAGTAGATGCTTGGAAACCTCCAGACACTCAATGTTGAATTTACTCATCCAGACCAACAAAGTACGGCTTCCATGACAGACATTAAAGTCGCAACAAAAGCCCACAGAACTCTCCATTGGTCTGCAGACGCAGAGGGAATCTAGTTTTGTGTGTAAAGCATAGTTTAAATATCCAGTCAATTGCTATTTTCTTGTTATTTAAACTCTGCAAAGGTGTACAAGGTTCGTTCAGCACCTTCTGACGATCCATACCAGCAATTTTCCTTTATGACTCCATTTATCTCAGAGCTTTTTTTGTTGATTTATTGATCGGACTGAGAAAATAGTTTTTCTTTGGCGCTTGCAAAGTCTTTCTTTGTTTACTGCATGCTCTCTTGTCCGTCTTTCGGCCAGAAAAGGAAACCGTCTTGACCCTCAACCATTTATTTATTTTTTTCAATCAGAATTTCAGACGGGAATTTTATTTACACAGCTCAACATCCCAGATTTGCCGAAGGGCCCTTTCCAATCTGAACAGCTTACGACACCTTCCGTCCTTTTCAGTTGCTTTGAATCAGGAAAGGCTCCCCAAAGAAAAGGCTGTTTCGCGAAGAGAAAGTGAAGTAACCCGAGGAGGCCACACTACCAATGAATGTCCCGTGTGCAGAATCGACCACGCGGTTTTGGTCTTCGTCCGTCCTTCATCTCCTTTTCATCTCTGCTGCATGCCGTCTGACATCTGGTAGCACGCAGCCTGCGGGTGATTGAGTCATTCGTCCTGCATGCCGTCACTTAATCTGTATCTGTGAGCCTCACCTCATCTGCATCCCGCTCTTCTCCTCCCCAGGACCCAGACATCCTCTTCTTCCGTGGTTTCAGCTAAAATGTCAGGATGTCGAGCAAGCATTTGTTTTCTGATATTGGTCCATGGCCGTAATGAATGAATCTCCTCTCACTTCACGTTGTTTGACCCATTTTGAGATGAACTTGTGCTCCCCAGTGTCACAATACTGCACAGGACACTGTGCAGGGATGTGAATTTACCTTCAGTCTTCTATCCTGTTGCTCAGTTCATCTCATCGTGCCAATACTAAATTACTAGAATTAATATAATACATAATATAAAAACCATACAGTCGCATTGAGATGGAGAGAACGCATTTCATTCCTCCAACATAAAATAATAAATAAAATAATGTAGATAGATATTTAACACTTGTGGTAAGAAGAAATTAATTTATTTATTTTGGGATGAAACATCCCTTTAAATGTCTTGTTAATTAAATACCCCATGTGGCTGATTACGATGCAAAGGAAGAGATAGCAGTGAAGTACGAAGCTGTGACATAGCATCATCTCGGGCTAGAATTAGGCAAACTAAGCTTGAATTTAAAGTTTTTCCCCATAAGGCACAAATTATGGAGCGACACTGCATTTGTTTTATTCAATATTCTAAATGGCTCTGTTGTCTTTCTTTGCCAGAACGAGTAACGAATACTTGGAGTGTCTCTCTCTGGGACGTATCTGTTCCACACTTTTCTGCTATGACGCTCTTATCACTGCACTATTTATCTTTGTTTCTGGTCAGCTAGTGTGGATGCCCATCCCTGCACGGCCCACACCAGAAGCATTAAATCCCATCAAAGGAACCAAGCCAGTAAATGCAGGCGTGAGTGCTGCGCAGTGATAACTCCTCCGGCTGAGTTTGCCTCTGAGCCACAAAACAACACCAGTGTACCTTTCCTCTCCGTGGCAGCGTACGTCATCTCCACCTGCATGAATTCTCTTTGTATTTGCGTAATATGTCGACGGGCATTAAGCGAGGCTTTGGGCTTACTTTATCAAAGACCTCCATTCATGCTGCCAGCATGTTTGCCTCGGGAGCAACCAAGTGGGTTGTGCGCCTCAGTTTTCTCTGGTCCATTGCGCAACTCTGTAGTGCTTTTGTTATTGACTGAGCTCACCTCGCGATTCTTAACTGAACCGTCTGTAAAAAACCAATGGTGCTGAGCTGTACAAGTTTCTGCTTCTAAGGCTGAATCCTCCAAGCAAACAGGTATTTTTTCATTCCTGCTGACATGTATGATCTCAGATTATTACACCTCCTGCAGATCAGCACTTAACTTTTAAATTGTATTACTGAGCTGTACTGTATATCTGCAGGCCATGTTTGTGCCCTGAGGGATTAACGGGAACATGTTACGTAACTTGATTGATTTATTGTTGTTCTGTGTGAAATGTGCGTCCACCAATAAAACCTTTAACACAGCGGGACCCTTTTGTATGTTGCGTTACATGAAAATCATTGCGTTTC